TAGGTACTATACATTAATGTTTTTAACCTAGCGTTGTGTTTCTATTGATGCCAAGAATATCAACAGGTAGTACTAAAGAATGTAGGTACAGGTTCTGTTTCCTTCTGTTGCTTAATGCGTAGGTAGTTTATAGTAGGTATGCAAATCTTAATTTTTCCTTTTACAAGCATTAACAATTAGGTTCAAATTATACCCATTGCAAGATAATTAATTAGATTCAACAAGACCAATGCTGAATCCTGTATAGGTACCTAGATAACAAGTAATGCCTAGGTACCTAGTACCTACATATAACAAGTAGGTAATGTAAGTAAGTAAGGCTTTAACATAACATTTTCACCGTTAATATGCTAATGCTTTGATAAAACCAAAACAAATTTCCAAAACCAATTTGCAAAATCTAAGTAATACCAGCGCATGATGTAGGATAAATAAGTTTTATATGCGTTCATTTGTATCACTGAAAATCGCCCAAAACGCAAGTTGGCCATCAACACAAAGGCCGTATATAGAAAGAAAGCTGGAAACTTACAAGCGCTTACCGGCGCTTGCAGTAGCGGCGTAAGGAGGGGGCGGTGGGGGCGGTCCGCCCCGGGTGCCAAGCATCAGGGGGTGACAACAGTCGTGCAGATTAGTACTCACAGGCGCATCTGCATGATAAGGACTGTCATTGAATCGGTAACCCAAAAATCCTGGGGGGCACCAGACCAGACCATTCTGGGGTGCCATAGCCCCCGGCTATATATGGAGGGGGGGGGGGGGGGGGACCGCCCCGGGTGCCAAGCCATGCTACGCCGCCACTGGGCGCTTGACAGCGCTGGTAACCCGCGCAGGAAAATATAAACGCGCGCCGATAAGTACTGAACGGTGCTGACAACAACAACTGAGTTTCAACATGCGCTGGTCACCGTGCCATTCAACTTGCTTCCATTTGTGTATAGGTACCTACTTATCTACGTAACCTACATTGTTTTTTTTTATTTTCCAATTAATAAGAAAAGGAAGTCTAAAATAATAACTAAATAAGAGCTCGAAGAAACTGTCGTAAATTGTCATTCATAAAATGACAAGAAGAAATGTGAAGAAGATTAGTATTCAAACAGTAGTCCATTTATGAACAAATCGTATCATGTAATTCCTTCCTGTACCTACTTACATACTGGGAAATATTTCCCACTTTGATAAAATTTTGCATGCCGTTATGAATAAAGGGCCATAATTTCCAACAGTAAAACCTCCCTTTAACCCCACTGTTCCAGGATTTAGATATTTTCAAATTTAATATTGTATGCAAAAAATCACCTTATTATAACAATCAATCTCGTTTTGTATTTATCAAACTTTTTTCCAATTAATTAAGGGTTAAAACATGGTAGAATAATATTTTTATTTACCGTTTTGTATTTGTCAAACTTTCTTCCAATTAATTAAGGGTTAAAACCTGGTAGAATAATATTTTATCTACCGTATCAGAAGTTTCGATGTTTATTTCTTTTAAACATTAATTTAATGTCATATTTTTTAAGTTTTAAAATCATTAAAAGGTATATTAACCGAATGTGTGGAATCGATTTAATTTTCAGTGTTTCGATTCTAACTGATGAGAGATTGATTCAAAGGATTTACTCTATTCACCACAGATATGGATAGATGCAGCATGTGTAAAAAATTGTATGAAGCCGAGCGTGCCAATTTTTAAACGTCATTAGTGNATCAAACTGCTAGGGGAGGTATCCGATTTTTAATTCGACGGAATTCTGACAGCTGTCAATTTTTGACAATTCAGATGTAATAAGCCTTTTTTTGCTTCGAATTATTAAAAAATAATATGAAACGAAATTTCATCAAGTACAACTTACAAGAATGAACTATTGTTTGTTTTGTGAGTTCAATGTACACTAATTATTATGTACATTTTAGAGATTAAATAGAAAAAAACGTTTTTTTAACACAGTAAAACAACATATTATCATAAACGAAAATATGTATTGATCACCAATCATCATTATCGTCATCATAATCACCTTGGATTATAAAATTGCATCTTGTTAAATTGCTTATTTTATGAAACTAAGATTTTATTAACAAAATGATTTTCATAAAAAAGGTTTGTAACCCATGGATTATTGGCCAGGGAGTCCAGTAGTAGAAAAATAATTTCCCAATTTTTTTTGTAACTTCAAAAATATGATAATAAAAATTCAAATAACCATTATGAAATGAGCAGTACATTTTTAAGCCTTAGTTTTTCAAGTGAAACCTTAAATTCAAGAAAGGATTATTTTTTAATTTGCGAAAATGCTCTCCATTCTTAGTGGGAATGTTTCAATGTTGGCAGCACTTCTGAAATGTCAAAATTCCGTCGAATTAAAAATCAGAGTTTTATCGATATAGATGACCCACGCTGAACTGTCCCGCCAAACTCAATGACAGGGGGGCGCTACCATCGTTCAACTGTATGGTTTCCAACATGGCAAAAATCTGAACCAGCGATCCGGTATTGACGGTGGCGCCCCACTGTCAATGTCATCGACAGGACAGTCCAGTATTTTGGAACTATAGCACAATCGATAGGTATTTTTTTTAAACAGAAATTGTGAAAAAAAAAATCGCTTGTTTTATTACTATTAATTTTATTAAAATGTGTTTTTATCAGTAATTTAAGGTTAATTTACATTACTAACGTATATAATCTTTATATTTTCGTTAAATCTTTAAAGATATTCCAAAAAAAAGTCACTTTTACTTACTTTTTTTTAATTTTTCAGAACCTCATAACTTGTGAACGGGCAACTTTGGGCGCGCGCTGATAGTGTAGGATTAATAGTCAACAAGCCATAGAACAAGGCTCAAGTAGTTTCAAAGCAAGATCTGTCAAGGCTGCGTCTTTCCGTTCTATACATGGCCAGAACGCACCCATAGGAAACTGCTCGTGTATATTTTGTAGTGCCTGTTTGTAAATCGGTCACTACAAACTATACACGAATTTTGCGTACTGATCGTGTATAGTTTGGAGGAGCTTAGTAAAAAAAGTTATTTCCAAACTATACTCGATTAGTTTCTACTACACCACTTACACTGGACTAGAGTGTGTTTAGTTGACATTGATTTAGTAAAATTCAGTAAAATATGGAACTATATTTAAAATTACATTAATTTGATATTACCTATTACATAAAATATTATTATTTAAATGAATCTATAATAAATCTAGATTTTTAACACTATTGTAAATGGTTTTTGAAATTAAATTGATTAGGTAGATTTCAAATTAAATAACAATTTAATTAAAATGAGAGAGAGTGAGAGAAGAAAGTTCAACGTGCATTAAATACAATATTATGCGAGACTTTAAATGCTAGGTTTGTATTGCCGGCCGTTTGGTGTAGTGGTTCGAAACGGATTACTATTCATTCCGGAGGTAGCAGGTTCGATTCCCGCACAGTACAAATATTTGTGTGCATGAACTTATTTGTTTGTATTAGACTGGGTGTTTTCTATGATAATAAGTATGTATTTACAAAAAAAAAGTATTTAAGTATGATTATATCCGTTGTCTAGTACCGATAGTACAAGCTTTGCTTAGTTTGGGACTAGAAGCGCGGTGTAAAATGTCTAAGGATATTTATTTATTATTTATTTTATTTATTAACTTTTATCTCAAGAACAAAATCATTTTGACATATTTCCATAACTACGAGAATTGGAGAAATATCAGCCCCAAAACAAATATCTTTTCTATGGCAGAATAAGAAACACCATAAAATCCCTTATCAAAACAATGACACGTGTCGAAAGATGATTCAATGTTTAAAGTAGACACGCAGATATGAATTAATATGTAATAGAAAGAAAGGTCAATACGTCAAAATGACTAGCATGCAACTACTCGCGTATAAATTGCAATCACGCACTTATTACAATACATACATGATTAGTCCGTATGCGTACTGGCGATGTATATTTTGGAGTAAGATAATTGACCTAAGTCAATACAAAGTATACGCGAGCAGTACGCAGCATATGCGTACTGGTCGTGTATAGTTTGGAGGAGCTTAGTAAATAAAGTAATTTCCAAACTATACTCGATTAGTTTCACACCCTTGCGTTCTGGCTATGTATAGAACGGAAAGACGCGTCAAGGCTTAGTAGAAATCGACCACTTTATGTTTCATTCCATACAACGAAAATGGAAAATATTTTTTTCCAGCCAAACTATTGGTTTTAGAGAAAAACTTGTGCAGCATTTATTCATCAGAATAACGTAACTTATCGATAAGTATTTTTTTCAAATAGAAATTGTGAAAAAATTCGCTATGTCCATTAATCTCAATTTCGATCCATAGTGTAACGCCACAAATTTTTTGAGACTCAAAGGGTCAAAGGGTGGGAAGCTATGGAAAGGGGTATCAAGGGTATCATTTAATATCCTTCATTATATCAATAACTCATGTCCCATCCCACTTGGTCCCATTTTCTAAACTCGTCTCACAACTTGAAAATAGCACAAAATTACGTCGACCTCGAAGAAGAAGGGACGGGAGCTCTAATCTATATCTGTGGACGGGAGCAACATTGGCAACCGCTGGCAACACTGTCGTAGCCATAGATTAGAGTCTAATCTATGGCTACGACAACCATTAGACCATTAGACCAGTGTTGCCAGAAGGTTACTTTTGTAACCTTTTTGGTTACTTTTGAACTGCTGTGGTTACTTTTAGGTTACACTAATGAAAAGGTTACTTTTAGGTGATTTTTCAGAAATTGTAGAATTAACTTTACAGGTTATTCAGTAAAAAATATTAATAGTGACAATTTAAAAATTATGTCATAAAGTGCATTTAAACTTGAATTTGATTTATTATTTGTTAAGAAAAATGAGTTTTAGCGAATGTTTTTCGATAATAAAACGCAAGTCCATGAAACGTTTTTATACGACTGGTCACTTTTCGTATTTAGATGATCAATTGTATTCATTTTCCATCCATGAACAACCTTACACCATTCTACGTTGTTGAAGTTACCTCACACTGACTATCAAGCCGCAATCAGTCAAGACCTGAAAAAGATATGGCATGAGTACTGGACAATTACTAGTATGGAAAAGGGAAAATGGTATGCTAAGATCCAAGGAAGCCCGCCCGCCAAACCTTGGTACCATCGGAGGAATGAGAATATAGATAACAGGAAGTTTATAACCATCATAAATAGGCTGAGATTTGGCCATTGCCACGCTCCCACTCACCTGAAGAGGCTCAACTTGATTCCGAGCCCTGAATGTACATATTGCAATGAAGAGCTTGCTGATTTGGAACACATAATCTTGAAATGTAGAAGTTTTGGAGTTCAGAGACTGGTCATGATCGACGACCTTCAATCTATTTGTGAACGTGTACCAGAGTCGTTGGACGAGCTCTTGAAGGATCCGAAACTTTTCAAACCCTTATATACTTTCGTGGTTTCAACTCTGGGAACTATTTGAGAAGAGAATATCAGTGAATCAGTTGGAAATGTTGGAATCATCAGTGCTGTGCATCAGTGCAGTGAACTCAGTGAAGTGTCAAACACAGATGTGATGGTGTCAAATTCAAACAAAAGTTCAACGGACTTCAAAGACTGGCTTAAAAGGGCTTGCACCCAGAGCCGTGAAAACTATAAAAAAAAAAAAAAAAACCCGACTGGCAACACTGGATTAGACACAGTGTTTTGCACAGAGTACCTGTCTCCTGTCTCATCTGTCCGCTCCGCTAATAAAATAAATCGCTACATCCCTATTTAATTCCCGATCGTGTTATTTTTTTTTGTTCTGTGTTTTGCACCATTGCTCCATTGTAAAATCAATACTCACTTATTCTGCGTTGCTTGAAGATTACCTGTCGTGGCGTGGAATTAAATTCTCAATCGTCTGCTGCTGTGCTGTGTGGTTACTTACGTGACACCTGTGTATTTATCGATCCAAACCATTGAAATAAATATTCATCAATCATGTAAGTAATGTACTTAATTGCTCCAACCAAGGGCCCCAACAGATTAAAGAGAGTGCATGCATAGAGAGTAATGGCTGTGGTGTTTTTGTCTCAGTGATAAAGTTTTACTAGTATTTTTTATAGAAGATCCTAAATTATGTTCGAAGTTTTTAACATTGATTGACAGGTAGTCAAAGTAAAGAAAAGAGTCAGAGGGTAGTGTTTTGTACCCAATAAACTCCGCTAAAAGTAGCCTCTTGCAGTTTGGTCAGAGAGTAGTTCTTCAGGGTCAGGATAGGTAATCTTAAAATTCACTTTTAGATTTTTATATTCTAATTAACTATTTAGGCAGGTAGGTATAGTTAGAAAATGTTAGATTTCTATGTAAATTATACCCTCAATTTTTCTAATTTGGTGGGTAATAGAGTAAGCAGCATGTGGTGCCAAGAGAAATTCCTCATTATTATTGAAACAATGATTGAATTTTTTATAGTTATGATAGAATTAATGGTACTATTAATTTACATTGGTATTTTAATAGATTGCACAAATCTGATGTGGGCACGGAAACGCAGATAATAATCTTAGCTGTAAACGCTTGTCACATACAGTGTGAGTTTGTGTTTGCCTCAACATTTATTGTGCGACCTAGGGGAAGAGTAATGTTGGGAGGCCCAAGGAAAGGTGGGCGGATGACATAAGGAGAACAACTGGCTCGACCTAGCCCAAGACAGGCATGAGTGAAGCGAGTTGAAGGAGGCATTTGCTCATATAGGGTGCCACAATTTTATATTTATTTATTTTGCTGAAAAAGTTATATATTGTTACAGAGATCATGGCTTCAAGAACATTTCGCAAAATTTATGGTGGTGCTGAACTACCGCCACTGGAGGGGAACTCTGATGAAGAGTTTGCACCCCATTACGCGAAAGAAATTAAGTCAAAATTTTCAGGGGTAAGCTTCCTATTTTACTTTACATTTTGTTAAATGCTAGCGATCAAAATTATGACATTGATAAATGACATCTATTTTTTTGTGTATTAAAAATTATTATTGCTCAGCGCTCAGCACTGTCTCTTATTTAAGCTAACCGAATTTAATGTTATTATCAGCAAAGCGAAATCTACTACATCTGACACTTGTAGCAACAAGTGTTGTAGGTGTAGTATATCTTTTCCCTTTAAATGCGATCAATTTAATTTTTATCAGCTTTACTTAATAATTTAGCTCATGCCGAGTGTTTCTTTTGTTATTCAAAATGTTCATTTTTTTTGTTCAATAGTTGGTTGTAAGTTCGAATTCGGAATCTGAGCAAGAGGGGCCAGAGAAAAGTGATGATGATTCTTATATGATTCCGGCTGAGACAAAATCAAAAAAGAAAAATAACAAAAAGAAGCAACGACGAGCCAAAAACAAAAATGCCAGTGCTGACATGCCAGAGGTATGATATGTGTAAACAATGCATTCTTTGAGTTGTGATAGTTACAGTCTAGCATTTTGCTGCTTTTGTGTTTTCCCTTCCGGAAATATTTTGTTAATAATTAATAAATTAATTCATGTTGTCATATTATTAATTGATTTTTCATACAAAACTTCCATAATCATTTTGATCTCACATAATTTTTAGGATAAAAAGTATCCTGTCTTTTCAAAGTTTCAAACTACATAATATCTTCATGCCATATCTAGAAAAAGAGTTTAATAAAGTTGCTATCCCATGCCCATCCCATCATTATCTTTAGGTAAATATTATGTTCCGAGAACACGAGGCGGCGGCTCGCTCAGTGAATCAATAACGCGCCGGGCCGGTTACCTAGGTTACCTAGACACCTAGCTACGAGTTACCACGCAAAAGCAAAGTCGATACAGACGGTCGCCACGCGCCCCCTCTGGCCGCGCAGTCCGCGCCTGCGCGAATATAATGTGACCTTTTTATTTATTTACTTGTCTCGAAACGATTTTACACGGGCTATTATCGCGCAGATTTCATTTTAATACGCTTATCTTCACCTCTACAATGCTCATAGTTTTACCAAATCTTGTAAGTTGGCTTCAATCTACTTATAGTCGTGTTGATTTAAAACTTTTTAAGTGAATATAAACTCGAAAGACTAGTTTATTACTAATTTGGTACCATCGAACGTATTGGGCTACACTTTGGGCCTGTATCCTGTATCCTTTTAGAGAGGTTTGATTGATACTGAACTAGGACTTCATTTAGAAACCGTTTCATACGCATCTACGTATCACATCCACATAATGGCGCACGATCCACGTTTCTTTACGGTTTGTGATTTAGGTACGCATAAATTATGCAATGTGGCGCGATAAATATTAACTACATATTATTATTAGGAAGCTGTTCCAGCGTTTGTAATATATCAATTGTTTACCTATAAATAAACCTAATGGCCTCCACTTTCACGATGGTAACTATTCCTTCAATCAAACAGTACTTAGGAGATTAGATTTTTTATTGGTTGAGTAGGAGATTAGATATTTGATTGGTCGTTATTTTTTTTGTGGGAGCCCCTGTTCATAAGAACTTTATAAGATTTTAAGGCATTTAAGTACACAGTCCCTTAATGTTTAGTGTAACATAAGCTGAGCTTTTCATGTAATGAAATTAAAATTTCAAATATTTTTAGTTGGACGAAATAGATAAATCCGTAATGGAAGTTAATGCTCTTCTTGGAAAACCGCCACCAGCAGCTCTGGTGCAGGAAAAAAAAGTGGACCCTAGGAAAGTGCTTTTCTCAGTAAAGGCTAAGCATTTGGACTTTAATAATGAATTAAAAAGGATTTTTGGATCAGAATCCCTTGATGAAGCTCACGGCAAGTATGTATCTTATAGAATGCTCTAGTTTAATGTTAATGCGACATGCAAGCAGTAATTTAATACGGATCGTTTGACGCTATATTAAAAGATGGACGTTCAATTTCTTGAGTTTTTTTAATAATTTATAAAAAACTAATTCACGCTTAATTTTCAGAAAATATCGCCCCCACAATGTAGTCAAATACAGGCGGGCAGCAATAGTTCCTATTCTAGAAAACAGACATTATGTCAGCGTGGGTAAGTTATAATTACCAATTGTTAAGTGTTATTAAAACAATATTATTTGTTCTTTGAATGTGGTTAATGAATGTTTTTATATTTTTAGGACTGTCGATGTCTGTCCACCGTCGTGAGAATGATCCGCTGTCATATTTCACCTTTGACCACAACAGAGAGTACCAGGCCATGCACCAACGTGTTCTTGAGCTTGTGACCCAGGATGAAGTGTTACCCCCAGACGATCGGAGGAGCATTCACATTGAGGGAATGTTGCAAGTAAGTGTATTCTGATGATGACTTCTGGGCCTTTACTACTAGTTACTACCAGGCAGGCACTTGCAATTTGAGTGTCATCACATCAATCAATACAATAATTTTTCATAAGAAATAACTTGTAAATTATTAAAATATGCCGTCTCACTTAGCTTTTTTTTTACTTTTTCAAAGAAGATCTGCAAAGATTGATGTAATCAAAATGAATTTTCTTTAAAATTCTTTGTTCTGCATTTAAACATCACGGAACATGAATACAGAAGTTGATACAGTTTTTTGTAGTCGCTGTAGGCTGGTTTGTTGTCATTTATATTTTTTTTAAATCCTTTACAGAGTACAGATTACATGTTCCGTGCTGAAGAGTACACTGCGGCCAATAACCTGCTAGAGCAAATTATTTCGTATTTGCACTACGTAGCGCATCCGTGCTTCAACTTAACAGATGTAAGTAATATCCTAAACATGGATTCATTTAATATGACATTGCCGAGATGTTTATGTGTCTAGTGATTTATAGCAAACATATATTTATGATTGCAAATTGAGTTAGGATACCAAGACTTCAACTTCTGAGTCGATTTTTATCATTTTATATTTACAAAATTATCAGTTCAGGTTCTATCGGGGCGGATACAAAACATTACAGTTTTCAACATTTATTGCCATTTAGACTGACGAATAACATTTTGCAGCAATCAATCCGCTTGGAGTACAAGTACTTGGAAAACAGGCCTTTCCACATCGCCGTTCTGAAGTATTGCCACATGCTTACAAATAAGGCCTGCCACCGCACCGCTTTGGAGTTGGCCAAGCTGCTCCTAAACCTGGATCCGTCCGATCCCCTGGCTATCATATACGTCATCGACGCCATAGCTCTTCGAGCCAGGGAGCACCAGTGGTTGATCGACGCCATTGACTACTGGAAGCAAGAGCGCGACGCGGAATACTTGTTCAATATTAAGTATTCCTACGCAATGGCCCATTTCCATGTTGCTAAGAAGAACAAGAGTGAGTATTTATTTGTTATGAGAATCCAAACAATATTTTTTTAAATCTAAGTTGGTTTTGTGAATACAATGATCTGCATTATGCGAATTGTAGACCAGGAGCTAAGCTAATAGACACAGTGTTCCATAGTTGAGTGCAAACTGCATGACACTTGGGGAATTGTTCATTTTTCGGCGTTATAGAGTTCGTGATGTTTTAAAGAGTTTACACTGTATATTTTGCTTCTCGTCTTAACCATCTTAAACACTTTCAGCTAACGATTTCACCCGAGCCGACGAGCTGCTGAAAGACGCTCTTCTCCACTACCCCACGATCGCAGCCAGGATTTTTGAGAACTGCAAGCAAGATTGCGCCAATCTCTACAACCACGCGTATTTCAGCCTCAGTGGCGAGGACAAGTAAGTACTTTTGCAGTTTAAATTGGGTTTACTTTCGATTTTCAGCACAAATAACTTAATATTCCAAAAAAATAAGAAGATTGTTCACATTGTGTTAATTTTGGACATTCATCACGAAGAAAGATTAAACACATTTCAAAAGTGATCACCTACTTTTATAATAATTATTTAATTTGCACAATGAATAAAGAAACGGTTGCATGTGTGTAAAATTTATTTACCCTGCTAAATGAACCCTTGGTAATGAGCATTGAGACATCATCATCATTTCAGTCACAAGACGTCCACTGCTGAACATAGGCCTCCCCCAATAATTTCCAGATTGTCCGGTAGGTAGCGGCCTGCATCCAGTGCATTGAGACTGATGAAATGAAAATCAGTTGTTTGTTGTTGCCATATTAATGTGTCGCCAAGTCAATTTAAATTGTATCTTTTATTGAATCCCATATTTTGAGGGGAGAATAGTAATGACTCATGAACAATGAGCGTCTGATAACAAGTTGTAAACTAAATAATTTGTACATTATTTCATGAATAAAGCAAGTAAAGTAATAGTTAAAACATAACAAGCTAGACTCGAGTGTATTCTTGAAACATATTGCTCATCTGTATTCTCATAACTCATAGTACTGTTCAGGGTCGTCTTTAATATACTAGGGCCCTGGACACTTAAAGATCAAGGGGCCCTTATCATCTGGAAAAAAGTATTTGAGCAACCCCTCGGACGCAGGGCCCTGGGCACGTGCCCAGTGGGACATTACTATCTAACAAAAAAATAGCTGTCGTGATCGAAGCAAAAAGATCCAGTTACAGTCGTCAAAACAATAAATCGATGTAATGCAGGTTCCCTGAGAAGGTGACTACAGCCATGATCCTTCACGCCAAGCTCGTGTGCTGGCGTTGGCGCGAGCCCAAGGTGAAGCAGTGGTTCCTCAAGAACCTCAACGAGCTCGTGCATCAGCTCGACAACGATCCCGCGGTCAAGGTAAGCTCGACACTCTTAGGCTGAGTTGCACCACCTAACTTTGACCGTAACTATAACGATAATCGGTGATTTTTTTATGAAGGTTGACGGATATACAGGGTGTTTGGCGCATCGTGTGCCAAAATTATTTGGCGGATAGAATGGGTCATTTCCTATATTTTCACCCCCCATAACACGTTCCATGTCAGGCGGCTACTTTCATATTAAGTTTTTTAGTAATTTCACCAAAANACCTAACACCCTGTATAGTTAGAAGAATGCCCAAAAATCGACCTACCATTACACACTGTGTCCTACAGTTTCGCCTCCCAGAGGAGAATCAGAGACTGCAGAGGTTCTTCTCCACTTTCTACTGCACAGTGAACCTGGGCGGGTTCATGGGCATGATCGTGACGCCTGCGCTACGCAGGAGCGTCATGTGCTTCGGCGACGACGCGTGCTACGCGCTGGGCTTCGGCTTCCCGGCGCTGCTGGTGCTCATATCCATTGGTCAGTACTCGCATCAGTTGGAGACTGCAGAGGTTCTCCACTTTCTACTGCACAGTGAAGACTAATCCATCTAGTTAGGCTTTATTATCTAAGCTTTTAGCTATCTATGTGGCTATTGGATCAGAAAATGTAAGGAAGTTCATAAAAACAGTTGTTTAAATTAATAAGAAATTTTTTTTCTTCTTCTTATTTACTTAACCTACACCACAGATGACTGAGGTTAAAAAAAATTCCGGCGTTAAATTTTTTATAAACTCATAAAGCTTTCAACTTTCAGTTATTTTTNTGTGTTACAGTCAAAGTAAGATAGTGCAAACCCTGCCTTAAATTCAAACTCTTTATTACCTTGCGCTTAACTGAGTCAGGGCCTGAGGTAACAGGATGGCTGATATCGAAGAAGGAGGTTAAGGCTTTTATTTTCGCACACCATTGTCTATTAAGCTTTGCAGTTACTCGTGTGTACGTATTTTTCTATGATCGAAGTAAATTATTCACGTGTGCCAATTTTTAAACCGCGCGCAGCGGATAAAAAAAAATTTTTCTTTACGTAGGTAAATCGATAACTTACTGATTCTGAGCCGCTCCTAAAAATGTGGACACTGATTGCAAATTCAACCTGTATAATGTAGCGTACTGTTCTCTTGCAGGCACGTTCTGAGCAGATCTCCCGTATTCGGCACTCGCTCTACGCTGCGTGCCCGGAACAAATTCACCGCCACATGCACGTGATCAAACCCATGGCTAACCTCCTGGTCGAGTGGGTAAGTTTCTTTTAAATACACTATTTAGCTTTAAGATCCGTATAGATCGCGCAACCTGTCAACCGCTTTGCAATGGAGGAAAGTCGAACCTTAACTTCGAACTCCTATGTTCTTCTGAATTATTTCGTTGCGGTTCCAAATACAATTTAACTTTCCCCCGGGACAAACTTGACCTTCACTGGTTGGATTTTTATTGGCGGCCAAGCTGTAGATCCTGGCTACACAGGAGTTGCAGCTGTGGGAACGTGAGGTGGGAATAGTCCCGTACTCCCGTTATAGGTCGCGCAACCAGAGTTGAGGCGATCAACACATGCAAATGTTATCTTGTATAAATGAGGCCTCTTACACACAGCTACGACCGACACCCGTCAATACGAATTTAGAATGAAAGTCATGTATAGTTCCAAAATACTGGACTGTCCTGTCGATGACATTGACAGTGGGGCGCCACCGTCAATACCGGATCGCTGGTTCAGATTTTTGCCATGTTGGAAACCATATAGTTGAACGATGGTAGCGCCCCCCTGTCATTGAGTTTGGTGGGACAGTTCAGCGTGGGTCATCTATAGCTTACTTTTACTTATACGTGACGTAAAGTTACGACATAGACTATTTGACACCATTCCCCAATAATTCGAAATCACAAACTGTTTTAAGATACTTCATTCTGGTCTTAATAAAAACTTAATTAAATTTAAATTACCTGCAAAATAAGATTTTTGGTTGCATTGTATTTGATAAAAGTAGTTTAATTGAGTTGACAAAATAGTGATGTCACTTGCTTGTATTGCCATACAAAATCTAAGTCTCGTTTTGACAGTTATAAAAAGTACGTCAAAATTGATTAATGTTGTCAAATAGTCTAAAAACGCAATCGCGTGTTCTTTTTTAAATCGTCGTGGTGTGGGTTGTTTTGTGTGTGAATAGCGCCTTGATTGTGTGTGCGTGTATAGGAGCTGCCAAGGATGACGCGCCAGACCTCGTTTAACCCCATGCCGCCAGCGAACACCATCAATCGGTACCATTACGGCGTCGACTTAGGTCTCGACCCCCGAAACGTGACGCACTATTTGGGACTCTTCAATGCTTTCACGTTAGTATGATGCATCTACGACAGCGAACAGCCGCTACAGTTTGAGCGATATAAATCTGGATATACGGTGGAATTTTTGATAAATTATTATCCCTAAAACGCCATCACTTGCGTATCATAGTTTAGGCTAGATGTTTGCTTGCGTAATGCATTGTTAGATGTTTTTGCCGAGAAAATTTTTCTTGGTCGTTTTTATAGTTTTTAAAAAAGTACATGTGTAGAATATAATTATTGTTAACTTTCTCATTTTGAGAAAGTATTTTTTTATTGCTTAGTAATTTACTTTACTATCACCACTATTTCCGCTCTTTGTACTTTCGTCTTCTGGTATATTCGTGTAATTTGCCAAAATAAGTATTATGAAACGCGCTTCGTGGCATGGTTAGCGACAGTAATTACTAATTATGTACATAATTTTTATGTGAAACATGGCAGAAAATGCCAATGAGCAGGGTCAATGTACTTTTACTCCGATTTATTTCGCTCAAACCAAATCGGCGAATCAATAGTAATTTATTTTCAAATAAAATGTTGATTTTAAACAAAGTACTTTTATTGTTTTAACACCACGAATTGTTAAAATACATTTCGCCCAAATACTGATGCAACGCGATGAGTTAAGGCTGGCGTTTTTAAGCATTGTCAACGATGTTATATTTTATATTACCGAAATATCATTATTTACCAGGTTGGTAAAAGCTAGCAGTGAGTGCAGGTTACCCATTTTTCCAAAATTTCGCACATTATAATTAAATTGTTCTATTTCTACTGTTATTCATATATTTCCAGGATGTTAGGGTTATGGTCATGGTCCAAAACCACTGTCTTAGTTTTCTTCAACCTGTCGTTGATAATAGAGATTTAATTCCCTAATAATTATGGATCCTGTTCTGACATTAAATGTAAACAGCCTTTATTTTGAGTGTATCTTCAGTTTTTGGTAATGATGTCGTTGTCCAGTATGTTAGTTCTAACTGCACTGGATAAAACAGTACTACTATAGTAAAATAGAAAAGTAAAACTTCTTTAGAGCGAGTATCCGCAATTCTACTACAAAAATTATTATTGTATTTTGCTTTGACAACGTGAAATACTTTTCATAAGCTGCCAAATCGCGATTTTTATGTTATTAGAGATTTGTGACGTCATTTGTTTGCAACTCAATCTCTGTATAATCTACCTATTTTGGTTTTGTCTTAGAGTACCTTCTGTACTCGCCACTCTGCCCAGTGAAGCTGGAAAAATTCTTACAGCTACCAGCGCGCGGCCCTTGAAAAATTCACGTATAATAGAGATGGCGGTTCTGTTCACGTCTGTTTCAAGACAAAAACAAAGATGTTTTACTTTTCTTTACTGTGTAATTGTATGTTCGTGAATGTCAGTAGTTAGATTGGTGTTTTAAAATAATACCTTTAGAGGGATTGATTTAGATTTAACAACAGTGCCGTTGTGTACTAAAAGAGATCGGGAGTTATGTTAGAGGAGAGGAGGTAATAACAAAATACTCTAAAAAAGGTTCCGAGTTTCTGGAAATTAAACGTCATAATGGTTTATAAAGGTGTTATTTTGAATTCGGTTTTTAATTCGAGTCAATGTTTGAGCCATATTTGCTATAGGTAGCGAATTATCATTTGGACAATTCGTATAGTTCATTATTTGTTTAGTTTTTTTTTATGATGACTCGAATTAAATGTCAAGTATAGTTGTTGTTCTACGTAGGACAGATTTTTCAATTACTAATAGGAAAGAAATAACAATCGCCTTTTTCGTGAATTGAAACTTGACAATTGAAAAATCAATCCTTCATTGTTCGTGTAATATAGTGCCGTCGCACACCCGGCTTATAATCGAGTTTCAGTACTAAGACTCAAGGAAATCAGTAAAGTACTATGATAGTTAAGTAAACCCTTATAACTAATAAAGATCTTTTTATTTATTTGTATTTATAGTTCATTAATTGACGGGAGGTAATGTAATGTTACTGAGGTTAGAGCATTATATTTACGTAACCGGGTGTGCAGCAGCGCAGTATAACAGCATTGTGATATTTCATGATAATGCTACAATTTAATTATTGACATATAAAATACCAGTCAATTTCCTGTGCAATACGTGCCAAGTTACAATCCGCACGCTGCTAATTTCAAGCCAATCACGAAAGTCTCGTGTACAAGGCAATAGTTGCACGATAATGAAACAAAATGATTTCGACATAGCCCGAAAAAATGGTGGTGTTACATTCAGATAATTTTCATTGAGGGGATACATTAAGTAGAAATCTACATTTAAACAAGAATGTTCATCACAGGTTTAATATTACTTATCCCAGCGAAATCAGCGCGTTATGAAAGGAACCTACTTTAAAGCGCTGGCCAAGCGAACGCGAATTTTAAATGTTTTTACCCTCCTCCCGGTGCTCATAGAAACTGATATCGATTTTTTTTCCTGAAACGGAGGTTTAACGGAGTCCGAATCTTTAAATTTGTTTTATAAAAGAAATATGAAACCTTTGGTAAGAAAATTAAAACCTTACATATAAATCAAGTGAATTGGTATTATTATGGCTTTGCGAGCAAAAGTAAAAATAGGTACGTTTGTAAAGCGCATAACCATTTTGTGCAAGAGTTCAGTGATGAGTAATTTTCATACAATTTCTAGATGCACAGTCGCGGCGCCACTAACGTGACAAACGCGATTGTGTTGCATTTCTAGAAATTGTATGAAAACTAGTAGTGGCGCGACTGTAGCGCATTCTCACGCCTCTAATTTGAAGGCGCCCTAAGTTTTGCTGTCGTCATGCGCTACGAAAACTCCGTTATGCCTCCGCACGCATTCCCGTGGGAGAAAAGCGGATGAAGAGATTAAATGTTATCCAAGAAATCCGAATTTTTGGGTGCGGAACCAGTGTTCCCCTCGATCCCCAATTTATTCCATTGGTAAGTGCTTCTGTTGTATAAAGTTCAATAAAATTGTTTGTAGTTTCGTGGCTCTACTAAAAACGTAACCAATAAAACCAAATACATTTTTAGCACTTATTCTAACGACACTTTGTATATAAGGTGGCCGGAGTAGTAATGCCCATAACTAAAATTTACTTACTTCCTAGATTACAAGCACTAACCAATACGTTAGATAAATAAGCTTATTGAAGCTTTTTCGCTTTGTTGGGGTTCCGTGCAAGCTTGGGCCTTAATAACTTTACCTGTCTCTGCCTGTCACAGGCAATTTCCACAAAAGTCAATAATTGATATTTAATGGTGATCCCAGAAACATATTTTTTTTAAATAAGGAGGCAAATTACGGGGCAATCAATTGGCAACTTGAAAAATTTACGTTTTCCGGTAAGTAACTATAAATTGGTAAATATTTTTAAAAATTATCTTTACTAAGTAAAATTTATTAAAATTTAGCACATTCAGACTTGTGATGTGAGTAAATGTACAGAACCCACTGCACTCGGCCGATGTTTGACTAGGTAAATGTAAGACTAACAAACTAAATGAGTACCTATTTTGTAACATCACCATTTTCCATCGCATTCATATACTTACCATCATCTCGCTGCACGTGCCTGTTAATATATCTAATGTATTTAAGTATTTATATTATGTATGTATTTAGTAAGCACAACATTTCGAAGCCGCAGACCCGCTTAAGATTTCTTAAAAAAATGCAGTTTAGACTAGGCGCAGACCACCGATTTTTAGTAGGCCGATAGTTGTGCCCGATTTTAAATTGTATGAAGAATCGGCCAAATCGAATCGGTGTAATGTGCGCACTACCATACATGCCCATTGCCTATACTGATCAACTGCCCGACTACTGATAAACTATCGGCCGATGAAAAATCGTTGGTCTGCGCCTAGGCTAATAGCGATATAATGTCGACGACTAATCTTTTGCTATGTTACTGTATGTATTTATAATATTCCTAATATTTTTGGCACTTATATTTATTGTTATGTATCGTATGCTTATGTTAAAATGCACCACCCTCAAGACCATTTAATTTTGTCCTAACTCTGAGATTCCCAAAATGTAAGTAAGTCGCCTCCAGGGATCCGTGGGAAACAAAAGTTGCGGTCAAATACGAGTACATGCCTTGTTACTTGTTAGGTCTATTCCATTTTAGTCCTTTGATGGTGTGCGTCAGGAACTGAAAACGTTGGGAATCTCTGGTAGCTGACTGCAATTAATGTGCTTATAATGTCACTTTATGCTTTACTTTGCTCTTGTAGTGTTATGAGTAGATTTTTTTTATTTCATTTTGCTTGCTTCTTGGTTTTATACTCGTATGTGTACTCGTATATGCGCAAATAGCGTTTAAATCAGCTTATAATTTTCTTGTGGCAGGCGTTTCATGGGTCAGCCTGAACTTGGCTTTGTGGCCAGTGACGCAGAGGACACTGACACTGAGAACCAGGGACAGGTGCCTGAGGGCCAGGTGCCTGAGGGTCAGGCTTCTGAGGGCCAGGCTCCTGAGGGTCAGGCTTCTGAGGGTCAGGCTCTTGAGGGTCAGGTTTCTGAGGGTCAGGCTTCTGAGGGCCAGGCTCCTGAGGACCAGGCTCCTGAGGGCCAGGCTCCTGAAGACCAGGCTCCTGATGGCCAGGCTCCTGATGACCAAGCCCCCGACGGCAACAACGCTCCAGGCCAGGCCCCGGACGGCCAAGTGCCTGTGGTAGCGGCCCCGCCCCCGGAGGGACAGGGTGCCGTCGGGCAGGATCCTGGTGATGACCAAGGCGGCCAAGAACCTTCACAGAACCCTGGTGGTCAAGATGGTCGACGTAACGATGACGACGAAGAAGACGACGAGGACGACGAGGACGATGACGACGACGACGACGACGACGACGATGACGATGACGACGACGACGAAAATCCTGATGACGATGATAATAACGATGATCAAGAGCAGTTTGATGAGAATCAAGATCACCGCGGCGACGATGACGACGCTCCGGAAGGTGAAGCGGAGGACCCCGACCGCGTGGCGCGCTTGGAGGCCTTCATGGCGTTCAGGAATCTTCTATTGCAGGCTGCTAATTTGCCACCCGATGACCAACTCGATGCAGACGATTGGGATTTTGTTCTCCCGGGTCTTGATGATGAAATCGGAGATGAGATAACTCCGCGATAAATATTTTACGGAGCTCGGAGTTAGTCCATGTTAGGCTTAAATTCCGAAAATCCTTTTTTTTTTTCAATTTCGGTCTATAAGCGTAACATCATAAAAAGTCACGATTTTGCAAACATTCCGGAAGCAGGTTGCCCGGCAAATCGGGTATTTTTACATAAACGTATTTAATATTAAAGATCTCGGTTTGGAGACATAAATCGTAAACTGATTTATAGTCTTCTCAAGTATTATTAGGTGTTTACTTATGAAATTGCCATTTTTTATTGTGAATTTAACCATGAAAATTTTGAGAATTGATATCAGTAAAATACAATTTTATGCGTAGATGAAAGTTCTTTATGTCTCTGAAACAAACAATTAAAAATGAAATAGCTATGTAATGAATGTATTCCAATTTGAAGCTCACAAACATGAAATATCATACAATTTCATAGACACACACTTGTGTCTGTTTACGATCTGATTTAGAGCTTGAGTTTATATCACACTTTGTTTTTATTGTTGTTCACTTTCAAAGTTATTAGTTTCGCTCATTTCGGCCAGGGTACGTGCATTAATTAGGTTCATTTTTGTTATCCCAAACTTTTCACAGCCTAGTGTTTTTGACTGTGTGGGAAACTTATTTTTAGTTTTCATATTACTACTATGTTTTGGCAATTAAAAATTGCTGGTTTTGTTTACGATGTGCATGTTAGTTATAAGTAACACTATTTATCAATGGTATATTGATATGTATTATGGAATCTCAAAAATGAGATTTTAGCGTCGGGTATGTAGATGAAGGATGGATAGACATTTGGAAAACCAAAGATTTATTTTTTTGAAAAAATTTACCGCCTATTTTATACATATACACACAGTGTGTGAGCAATTGAGAATTGCATGTTTTTTTACTACTATTTTTAAGGAAGATAAAAAAATATAATAGCCACGAGGTAGTTTAGTCATTTATTTATTTTTTAATTACCTACGTGGCTGGATGCAAAATAATACTTGTTTTGTTTTGCTTTAAGTACAAATTATTATTATTATTAATTCTTTAGACTTTGGAACTTTATTTAAATTAAACACATTGTTGATATCGTGTCAAGTTTTTGATCGCTTAAAGCTGCTTTTTAGACTACCGCTTGACACTAATAATGGTATGATTTTTTTTGTGATGTGTTATCAAGCAGGCACAGCACAATTTACAATTACGTGTGCCAGTGTATTCTAACGAATTGTAATAGAAATTACAGCACAAAATATTTTATTAGTTAGTAAGGAAAGGGGCTTGAACTGACGCTGAAAGAGATATGTTTTTTGGGCGTTTTCCCGTATTTATGTTGCGTCGAGGCAACTATTGTATACCGTATTATGTGTCTATTTGTACCGAGTCCGACGACTTGTCGGCTAGTTGTTAACGTCTATATTTATCTTATTTATATCTTAATCAAATACGAAGATCATGTAATCATAGATTTAATAAAGACTTCATAGTCAAATCGCGTTTCATTGCTCTATGCGATAGCTTAATAAATCACGCTCCAACCAAGAGTTATGAAAATATACTTAAGTTCTCTATGAATTGACAGTGTCATGGTCATGATGAGGTTCATGGTTGTTATTTCAAAAAGAGATTGATAAATGTCCTCAGATTAATACTAATAAAATTCAATATTTATCTTTGTTGCCATAGGATTTTACCAACTGTAGCACCAATTTCTCTATTTGCAATTTGAGGCAAACATGTTTCACAGTCATCCTACGTCGATATTTTGTATAATTGCTACAGAATTTTGTGAAAGATTTTCATTTTGTGGCCTTAGAAGTGAGTATCATACATTATTATTATTCTATTGAATTTCTTTTTTCTTTTTCCATCGTCGCCTTGTTATCCAGTTTCGTATTGGTTCGTAAAGTATTGCAAACACCTAGGTACTAACTAAGATGTTTTTAGGTACTAATAGTACTATGAGTAATAGTAGTGTGGCCATTGTTTGTAGGATCATAATTTGTAGGCACCTAAGTGCTTACTTGTACGTACCTATATGCGTCAAGCGAATATGCATCTTAGTTTCGTTGAATAAATATTTGAAATACTGCCACATTAATTCCCTTCAATAGGTTTACCTTGAGTGGGTAACTAATGTCATGTTAATATTTTTTTAGCTATATTGTCCCTGTACCTAAGAAATGTGCTATGTTTGCACGAAAACGCGGCAACGGTGGTGTACCACATATTCATAATGCTGTGCTACACCATGCCTCTGATGGGGGCCATCCTGGCCGACAACTTTATTGGACGATATAAGTATGTAGATTTAACACATTGAGGTTATTTGCAGCTGTTATAAGTACCTACTCATGTTCTTTTTTGTATACCATGCACTTTATGGGGACTATCTTTGCTCATAGCTCATAGAATGCAGACTACGAGTTAATATCGAAAATATAAAATATCGCGTAACAATGGCATTTTTCTGGGCTTATTCCACTATTCCCCATTGACAATCCCCGTCAACGGGGATTAGTGAACTTTTTGTTCACTATTCCTCGTTAACGCCAATTGGAGCTTATAATGTTAAAAATAAAATCCTATTATAACGGGGAATAGTGAACAAAAAGTTCACTAATCCCCGTTGACGGGGATTGTCAATGGGGAATAGTGGAATAAGCCTTTTTCTGTTAGCAGGCTCTGTAGGCCTACTTAATGACGACAAGAGATGGCTACATTTTAAAATGAAATATTGTTTTCAGGGTCATATTATATTTCTCGATAATTTATCTGTTCGGTACCATATTGACTTGCTGCTCTGCTATACCGCCTCTTATGCTACCGCCTACGTAAGTGTCATTTTATTTTTTGGTAAGAGTAGTAAGTACCTAAGATAGTTACGAACGAACCATAGAAAATAGTGGCCTTTATCCAGCACAGCTACGAAAGGGGTGTTTATAGTTATAAAACCATCCTGTAGGTTTAACTTTAGCCAAAATCCATGTTGATCATGCTAATCTGATCGAATCTACGATCGACACTTGACTTGAATAGGATGGGGCAATAAAGGCTTACTGATTGTATCATTAATATGCAAAGCTTACCTTTGATAGTGCGACCTGTACCTACCTATATTAGTTACTTGGATACCTCTCACTTAGCTAGCTGGCAAGTCAAGTCCGTCTCTGATTGCTTTGGCCGGGCCAATAATTGGCTCTTGAATATTGCACTGAATCCTATTTAGATATTATTCTAATGAAAATATCCTGGCTTTCCATTTGACTCTATGTACCTTACTTGGTTAAAAGTTACAAGGTTTCTTATCTTAGTTTATGAATCCTTGAAATTATACAGGTCAGGTGACAGGTCTTCATAATGTAAGGCCTAAAAGGAGATGGCCTAGATATGGTTCTATTGGCGCGGAATTTAACTTAAGTAACGATGTTTTCTTAGGACAACTTCGATGATTGGTTTGGCGTTGATTGCTACTGGGACTGGAGGCATCAAGCCTTGTGTTGCGGCATTTGGGGGCGACCAGGTAGACAGGTCTTTTTTGTAACATTACCTATATTCAATTTTATCATCTTAATTCTTGAATAATAGGTATAGGTATAGTTAGCGAAAGCGTTTAAACGTGTACAAACGGCCACCTTGCTTTTGATCTTGATATTTCGTTGTAGTGTGTGGTGTGGATTGTGGTTCATCTTTCCTACAGTCTCACTCGAATGCTTTCGCTTCGGTGTTACGCTCGAAAAAAAGACAGTAGATGGCGCTACTAGTATTAGTGTGATTGGTAAAATGAACTGAAACTGAACAAAGTCGCAAGTAGAGACATAAAATTATTGTTTAGTAGTAAATATGATTAAGTACGAGTATCCGAAATGTAATTCTTGACTGACAATTTTATTTAACTGAAACCAATCAAGTCTCATTATCTATTTTGAAAGGAAAGTAAAAAACAGACACTACTGAAAAATCTGAAATTACATAAGTACCTATGACGCTTTCAAGCAGCAGTTAAGATTTTAAAGCCATAAGATATTTTGGAATAAAGAAAATTCTGGTTTCGGAATACTTACTGTTGCTTCTAGTATAACCAACTAGGGTGTTGTTAGGTAACTAAATGGGTATATGAGCCGACACTAACCCATGTTAACATGGGCATATAAATAGTATGGTGAAGTCAGAAAGTTGATATCTTCATTTTAATTATTTTAATTTTCATACAAAATAAATTTTATAAAACCCGATTTGTATGAAAATTAAAATGATATCAAAGGACATCACCCATTTTGGTCCAAAATCAAAAGTGTCGGCTAAAAAATAAAAGTGCTGTATTCTGATAGAATACGTCCGCCTTAGCATTTATTACTATGGCACCAAAGCTGTAGCACCACTGTGCATCGTGGTATTTGAGTTCTAAAAATATATGAAACGACTGACTTTGATCTCAAATACTACGACGCACAGTGGTGCTACAGCTTTGGTGTCATAGTAACAAATGCTAAGGCGGACGTATTCTGTCAGAATACAGCACTTTTTTTTATTGGCCGACATTTTTGATTTTGAACAAAAAATGTATGAATCGTCGATGAATTTTAGATCTCAAATACTCGACGCACAGTGGTGCTACAGCTTTGGTGCCATAGTAACAAATGCTAAGGCGGACGTATTCTGTCAGAATACAGCAAGCAACATGGGCTAGTGTCGGCTCATATACTCATTTACCTAACACCCTGTATAGTTAGAAGAATGCCCAAAAATCGACCTACCATTACACACTGTGTCCTACAGTTTCGCCTCCCAGAGGAGAATCAGAGACTGCAGAGGTTCTTCTCCACTTTCTACTGCACAGTGAACCTGGGCGGGTTCATGGGCATGATCGTGACGCCTGCGCTACGCAGGAGCGTCACGTGCTTCGGCGACGACGCGTGCTACGCGCTGGGCTTCGGCTTCCCGGCGCTGCTGGTGCTGATATCCATTGGTTAGTACTCGCATCAGTTGGAGACTGCAGAGGTTCTCCACTTTCTACTGCACAGTGAAGACTAATCCATCTAGTTAGGCTTTATTATCTAAGCTTTTAGCTATCTATGTGGCTATTGGATCAGAAAATGTAAGGAAGTTCATAAAAACAGTTGTTTAAATTAATAAGAAATTTTTTTTCTTCTTCTTATTTACTTAACCTACACCACAGATGACTGAGGTTAAAAAAAATTCCGGCGTTAAATTTTTTATAAACTCATAAAGCTTTCAACTTTCAGTTATTTTTGTTGCTGGGAAGCCTTCGTATAGAATAAAACAGCCTCGCGATAACGTCACATTGAAATTCGTGTCGTGTGCTTGGGTAAGTGGGAAACGTACAAAAACGCTATTTCTTTGCATGTCCTTTCATTCCACCACCGCAGCAGGGTAGGTAGTGGTGGGCTCACTCTGAAATTCCGCGTGATTAGTGTTGGTAGATAAGCTTTTTTACTTTAATTTTTTATCAATTTTGTTTTATCATCTGTGCTGTGTAAATCAGTTAGATTTAAAAGGTTTTCTGTTTCAAAACAAAATGCTGAAAACAAAATGCTAAATTTTCTTTAATAATTGAGAACAAAGAAATTGAGGTCAAAGATTTTGAGAAAGTTGTAGGTATAAGTTATAAACCAGATTATTAAGTATGTGGAATGAGATGGGACCCATCATGGGGTCATGCCAATGTCATTTCCTTTTTGCACAAATAGATATCTGAATGATTGATGTTGCTAATCGTCACACTGCTTACTAACCTTTTCGTAGTTTAGTTGGTGAATGGATTTATAGAAATGAGGATATTTCAACCGAATGCATTAAATCTCCATTGCCACTTGAATGTGGTTCCTACCACTTTGATGTTGTCTCTACATAGAAATAGAGGCCTTTCCGTGTGTTTCAGTTTATCAACCAACACCTCCAAAACCACACAACAGATTTTCATGCAGTTTCTATCATTTTAATAATGATGGAAACTGCTTGTAAAACCGTTGTTCCGATTTTTTCACACCCGCGCGAAGTCGGGATAGCGAGCTGAAACATATTTTATGTATTTTAGTATGCCTTGATGAAACGTCTGCGATATGATAGAGATAAAGACGGCCCGCCACTTGAACACTGGCTCGACTACGCCTCGGAAAAGTACGGAGAAAAGCTCGTATCGGACATGAAGATAGTATTTTCAATACTCTACCTTTACCTGCCTGTGCCTATATTTTGGTCTCTGTTCGACCAACAGGTTAGTTTTATTTATTTATGTCGTATTTTTTAACAAATACCTACTGATAGACCGGGGTCCTGATCTATCAAGAAATATTGATTTTTATTGTTTTTACTTATATTATTAATCTCTTTGTTCCTTTATTTTGCTACAGACACTTCAGCTTCTCTCGTTAATCTCTATGAAAATTTTATTAAATATCATCACTAATCTGTTATTATTCTGATAAGGAGGAAGGGAGTAAATAAGCCTTAATTATTTACCTAGCATATTTACTTTGATGTATTTTTACTTGTGCTTAGGGTTCCCGATGGACTTTCCAAGCGTCGCGGCTCCGAAGCGAGGTGTTTGGAGTGACGCTAATGCCCGACCAGTTACAGGCAAGCTCATAAACTTTCAATACCAATCCTAATCTATACTAATATTTTAATGCGAAAGTAACTCTGTTTGTCTAAACCACTGAACCGATTTTGATGAAATTTGGCCTAGAGATCCATAGAGTACCGGAAAGCGCAGCGGGACGTCCACCCACAAGGCGCTGGATGGAGGCCACCACCAACCGGCGGAAATGATGATGATGATGAATCTAATTAGATCTACTACAAACACCTACTGCAATGTTTACAAAGAGTCCTTAAAGAATTTCCAAGTGGACAGAATCTGACTGTCAAATAAGTCCCAGCACAGATCCCATCAACCAGTTTTCAAGTCCGCCTGCAGGTAATGAACCCCGCTATGGTGCTACTGATGATCCCCGTCTGCCCCGGGGGTGCGTGGCCGATGCTCCCCGACCTCCCCCCGCTTCAGAAAATGTTCGTCGGAGGCATCCTGGCAGCCATGGCGTTCGTTTCAGCTGGCATCTTACAAATTGGGATAGAGGTGAGCTATGTGAATGTGCCTATGTAATGTAAGTAATATTTCTTATATTCTTTGGAAGTTCAGGGATGCTATTTTTTTTTGTTTTCTTCTATTCGCATTACGTTTGTTGTATGTTTTCTTATAACTTTCAATACTAAAGGTATTATGCTCATACTTAAGTAAGTACTTAGTTACCTATTTCGAAGAAAAAATAATCTTTAGCAGGTGTGAGCAACTTTTGGAAAGTACTTAGTAAACTTTAAGATGCTTACAAAGTTGTGGGCCGTAAATAATAGCTGCTAAGTTATGAAAAAACACCTGCAATTTATTTAATGTATTGAAAATTAAATGTTTGGCGGGTTGAATCAGCTCTATATCAGACCATCACTGGAGGGTTTTGAATGATTTTTAGGTTGTCCCGTTTAGCGAGTTATATTTTGGATTAGCGGGTGTTACTGTTATTAAGGTTATTTCCTTGAAGCCTTGGGGCCAAAATAGGGATAATTTTTTCGGTATGTTGCAAGGGTCATATAATATATATCAATTTTAATTTTTCTTAGGCCTCAGCCTCGAAGTTAGCGGGCATCGGGGCCGGAGCGGCGGCGGCGCTGGAGCGGGGCGGGCAACGCAGACCCGTTCTCGAAACAAGCGGGCAGCTCGCGCGGCGCTTTAGCGGCGGGCGAAGTGTTGTGTTTGGGGTTGTGTTGTCGAGAAATTTGTTTTTATTCGCAAACGAAATGTCTGAACAACGGCGACAATTTTATTTCGATTCAAATTTATTCCTAACGCTCGATTTATTGTGGGCAAAAGAAGGAGTGCGCTGCCCGCTCGTTGCCCGCTCCCTCGCCGCTGCCCGCTCGTTGCCCGCTCCCTCGCCGCTGCCCGCTCGTTGACGGTCCGGCGCCGCTGCCGCGCCGCTGAAATCAAATAGAGCGGTTCTCGAAAACAGCGGCGCGGCAGCGGCGCCGGAGCGGTAATGAGCGGGCAGCGGCGAGAGAGCGGGTAACGAGCGGGCAGCGCACTCCTTCTTTTGCCCACAATAAATCGAGCGTTAGGAATAAANTCGGCAAAAATTATGGAACTTGATAGGTTTTAGACCATGCCACGCACCAAAACGTCCGGAAGTTGTAATAGTATTATAGAATAAACGTTAAAAGACTTATTTATTTAATTTTTCAATGCTTAAGTGTCCATTAGAATGAAAGGGTGCTTAATGTATTAAAAAAAATAGAAAATAATTATGATGGGTTAATGTTTTTGGGCGGTTTTTTAGGCGGTTTCTGACAATGTCCTTTGAATCGAAATAAAATTGTCGCCGTTGTTCAGACATTTCGTTCGCGAATAAAAACAAATATCTCGACAATACAACCCCGAACACAACACTTCGCCGCTAAAGCGCCGCGCGAGCTGCCCGCGCCCCGCTTGTTTCGAGAACGGGTCTGCGTTGCCCGCCCCGCTCCCGCGCTGCCGCCGCCGCCGCCCCGCTGCCCCGCTGCCCCGCTGCCCGCTAAATTCGAGGCTGAGGCCTAAGATCCTGCCGCTCCCGCGCCGCCGCCGCCGCCGCCCCGCTGCCCGCTAAGTTCGAGGCTGAGGCCTTAATCTGCCGCGAGCCGGATTGATGGCAGTGGCGGGGCGGGCCGGATATGGCCCGCAGGCCGCAGTTTGACCTTGATCTAAGGTGTTACGTGGTTTTAATTTAGTAACAATATTTGTCATTTACACATTAGTTTTCAGACCCGAAAGGTACAAAACTAGAGTTCATGATGTTTGTTGCTGTACAGGGTCTATGGAAACTCTGAGCGACTCTATCATAAGAGGAGCTGCTTACCATTAGAACAGGCTGCTGGAATTCTTCTGGGCACTCTTTTAAGTCTCTTATTCTGTCCAGCGATCGACCCTCCAAGTGCCGGCCCACCACCAGAGCGGGCTAGTACTACTGAATACTCTGGGCTGCCCCGCGGAGATAGCAGTGCGGGGCGAGGGCGTAGCGCCCGTGGAGGCCCACGGGACGGCTCTAATGGCGCCGCTGCCGCACCGCGTCCTGACCGTCACCGCCAGCTGCCCTGCCAACTGCGCCGGCCGCGTCATGAAACGGCACGTCGTGAGGGAGGACCTCAAGACTGTGGCTAGCATGGTTGTCTAAATTTTTAGTGAATTTGTGAATAAAAGAGCTCACAGACGAGCGACCGCGACAGTATATCGCCTTAAGCTAAGCGTCCACATGTCGGTACCGTACGCATCGGACGTATCGCACGCAACGGATCGTAGTATTATTTATATGGAAACTCATATAAGTGCGTCCACCTGTCCGCATCGTACGCATCGCACATCCGATACAATGTGTTTCATACGATGCGTCTGTTGCGTACGATACCGAAAAGTGGCTTTAATCGGCGAATACCGCCGATGGTCGCCGACAGTCGCTGGTGTAACGCGCTATCGAAGACGGGCAGTCACTGACATAGAATGTCAACATGTCAACACAGCAAAATGTGCGAGTTCGAGACTGTCACCGACAGTCGCCTTCAATCGCTGACCGTCGCCTACCACTATCGCAAGCAGTGGGATATAATAAAACTATTTTAGAATGTAACATTTATGTGATTTGTACATATAAAATGATGACATCTACCCACATCGGGTAAAGTAATGTTGCTTTTTATTATTTCTCATATTTGAAGAAACTAGGTATTTGTCAGGTCGTCGTTTCAGCCAAATGACGTGCACTGCTGGACAAAGATAATTATTAAAAGATGATTTAAGAAAATAAAAACATGCTATAAAATAACGTATTACCTAATTAAGTTAGGATAGTCATCATAAAAATTGAAAAAATGAAAAAGCTAGATTTGTTAAAAATATTATGAAACCCTTACGATGTCGTCGGTCCACCTTGTAGGTGGACGTCCCACGCTGCGTTTTCCGGTACGCGGCCTCCATTCCAGAACCTTTCTGCCCCATCGGCCGTCAGTTCTGCGTACTATGTGCCCTGCCCATTGCCACTTCAGCTTGCTAATCCGTCGGGCTATGTCAGCGACTTTGGTTCGTTTACGGATCTCCTCATTTCTCTAAGGGTTGCAACATGATAAACTGGCTGGTGCTGATCCGAAGGAACTACACTTTTTCGACATTATTTACTTAGTTGTACATTATGTACCTAGTTCTGATAGGATAGCTCATTGGCGTCGGCTCACTGAGTGCTTTTGTCGATTAATTAATTCCAATATAGTAATAGTTAAAATAGTACAAAAGTAGCTTTTAATTTTTATTTAGCCTTATTTTTTATTTAAAAATACTTTATTTCCACTCTATGTCTGACTTTAATTGCGATGAATCCGTCTTTAGTTGTCCATACAAAGGAAGAAAGAAGTAAGAATATTTACAATTCTAGATCCTTCAGTAATCTCTTTGACTTATTCAGAACTTTCAGACTGCATTTGGATTTTCCATTACCTAGAGATATCATCGATTTTGTTTGGATTTGGAGCAATAAATTACTCTCTACTTAAATAATATGATTGGACATTTTTTGCTCTACGTTGGTTTCTGCTCAGACATATTACTGTCTCGGAGATTTTATAAAAACCTGTTAGTTACTTCAGTAATGGTATTAAAAAAATTAAACAGATAAATTTCTACGAATCTCATAGTTAATTTTTAGAATTCCGTAATAGGAAAGTGTGTGAAGTCTTCAGCGTTTAAGCACAGAATAATAATAAGTACTACGTACAGAAGTTTTACTTTGCGAAGGTATTTAAAAAAATGTATGCTCAATGTCATTAACAATATGGTGTAATTTTGCCTGTCTCAAGAGTCAAGCACCATTTTGTTGACAAACGTCAGTGATCGGCACTGCGCCGAAGCTATAGGGCTGACTTCGGTAAAATGATGTGACGTGAGGTGCCAAACTGCGGAAAATGGCGGAGGAAATACATGATTTAGCATGAATTATCATGAATAATATTAACTACTTATTTACCTCTCAGTGTCTTGAGGCAAGTTAAAAAAGTACATTCTGTGTTTTTATTATTATTTAGGCAGTTAAATATTGCACAGTATTTAGTACACCATTTTCTTTATTTCCTTCCATCATACACAAGAATACGCGTGCGTGAGTCAATGTTCGCTCGTATGTGAGGCCTTGTCGAATAGAATCCTGTAGGTGGGCCATCGTGCGTGTTTTGTTTTCGATGTAAACTCGCGGAGATGAACAGGCCTGGTTTAAGTACCTTCTTATAGCCACAACAGAAATGTTGTTGACTGAAGCGCAGTTTTTTGACTGGTTGTTGAATTGGCTATTTTAACTACGGATCAAAAAACTTCACCTATCGCACCATCTTACTTTAACAAAGTTCAGAAGTCTCTTAAAAAACTCCATACTAAAACACCGGTTATTGTTATAGTTACGGTTAAAGTTAGGTAGCCTTAAGGTACCCCTTGGCTTTCGAACTAAGCGTCACAGAAGCAGCGTCTTTAGCTTTGGTCTTGTGCTACCAACGCCGCGTCACTAACTCGCTTCGAAAGGCTACCTTTAAGACCAAAGCTAAAGACGCTGCGTCTGTGACGCTTAGTTTGAAAGGCTACCTTTACGGTTAACTTTTATTTCCAGTTCATGCCGATAGTCATCGGACAGAATTCTGACGACCAAATCTCATTTTATTTCATGGACCCGAACCCTTTCACGAAGTCTTTGACGGGAAAGCCGAAGTTAAAGTAAGTGATGATTCTACAAATACCTACGTTAGTTACCTACGTCAACTGCGAGTGTAGAGTCATCGGGGATAATTTGTTTAATGGTTCCGGAAAGACCCTGTAGAGGTGTTTATTACTGGATGGTTAGGGGGTTTTATTTTTCTTTCACCGTTCTTGTATCAACGAGTAATTTTTACCGTTCTTTAAAGGGTATCTACCAATATGACATAAATATTCTATACTAAGGACCCTATTACTAAAGAGCCAAGGTCATAAGTAGAGATGGAGATTTAACAAATGTAAGATAAAAAAATGTGAAAAGTTATTGTACGGTTGTACAGAACCACACACAATATGCGCACTTTCTATGCAAAATCTGGCAAGTTTGAGAAGCGACTCGAATCGTTAAGAAATTTTAATAACGATTTTTATGATTTGTTTGTCATATCCATATTTTTATTTTTTTGCTTCAAATGGATGTTATTGGAAGAGTCAATATAAAACCAATAGTCCCTAAGTTCGTTGCTGCCGGCTGGCTCGCGCGAACGTAAATTGATTAAAAGTTGATTGCTTTTAAACGCATTTATTGCCGAGCAGTATGACCATCAACCGCATCAAGTTTTGAAATTGACAATTAATACTTTTCCCGCAGGGAGATGCAGGTTCTGGTTTACCTATCGCAAAATCAGTAGGTAGGTGTGCCTATCGATAGGTGAGTCGCTTCATCATGATGACTATGATGAGTTTCATGATTGATGGATGATTTCTTAATAAAATAATATAGGCACTTACGTTTGAATTAAAAGTAATTTGTGTACATTTTCTTATAAATAATTGCATGCGGGATTAAACCACGTCTCACTTACTCCCGACCTAAGACGCATCGAACAAGCCTAATAATATTGTCTATAGAAAAGTATTATGAGTTTTGAGATATGGCCAATTTTAAAATAAAAAGTTATTTTTTAAATGGACTTATGCTTGTTCGATCTATTCTTTCACACTGACCCCGAAGACCTTGGGACATCCTGTATATTCTCTATTATTTTTTTCTGTTTGCTGCCTAAAAGGGTGGTGTACGTGGGTGATACAGGGCCGAACAAAAACGTCTCTATAGCGGTGGAGACGGATCGCAGCCTCAGCGACATCTACTATGTATCTGACGCCCCTATTGACCACATCGGCGAGTCGGCATACATGTGCCTGCAGCCTGGCAAGTGAGTTCCATCTTAAGATGATCATAGACTAGCTAGAGCGTTTACTTGTAACAGAACAAGAAGCCCCTCTATGAGATGTCTAGTGTCACACCCTGAACCAAATGCTAAACAATACCCGGCGATTTCGGTTTCGTAGAGCGTTATCACTGTCGCACTTGAACAACGACTGACAATGACGTTTTGTCAAAGTGTAAACAAACTTTATTTTAAATGTGTGCAATTGATTTTGTGAATTAAATTGCTAAAAACTTTTATAGTCGTGAAAGAAAAGTGGTTCACAATGTGTTAAAGTATTTGTCGAAGAGAAATACTAAGGGTTCGGACAATATTTTCATTGAATAATGTTTTGTCAATGACGTTTTGTCAATCGTATAGGTAGTGTGCGACAGAGATAACGCTCTACGAGCCGAAATTAACCGATTCTCTTTCCAAAGGTCGATGTGCAATATTTAATGCCGGGTACTGTACAATTTAGAAAGAAAGAAAGAAAGAAAAAATGTTTATTCAGTATCATCGACAATACAATTTAACCTGTATTGTACCATTTGCAAGAACGTTTAATTACCTACATAGAAATGCTCTAGTCTAACTCGTCTCCTCTCGTCGCCGGCCTTATAACATAATAGTACATGGGTACATCCTGTGCTGTATAAATTTACCCCCTCACTAATAAAAAGTTACACAGTTGTTGAACACTGTTTTAAAATGACATTTCCATACTAAACGTCCTTTAAAACACTGTTCAACGAGTGTGTAAGTTTTATTAGTAAGGGGGTTACTATATTACATACACAAGTTGCAGAAAAAGAGTTAAGTAAGCTAAGTTCACGCAGTTTTCCATAGTCGTGTGCGAACTGCAAACTATACAAACACTATAGAAAATTGCATCAGGCTAAGCCAAACTGACTTAGCTTGGCTCTTGTGCTGCAACTTGTGTATGTAATTTAACCATGTATACAGGGTGTACCTACCCATGTATGTTATGAATGAGGTGTCAAGCCAGTGTGTGTGAGGCGAGAAGAGGGTCGTCATTCATATCGTTTACGCAGCATTTTGTGTGGCTGAGTGATATTCTTTTTCTTATGTATTTCCAAACAGAAATTTCCAATGTCCCTATTCTATTTAAATTAAAATTGATATTTTTAGGACATGATTTTTAATTTTATAGTATTCAGCATTATGAATATGTTATTATTGTGATTTAGGTACTTATTCATTTGAATCTCATAGGTACCTTACAGACTCGACCTAACACCCTGGAAATACATGAAATATCTAAAAAGTTTCTATTTCTCTAATTAGCGTCACAATTAAAAACGTTTTAAAATCTTTTTAGAAACACCATTAATTAATGAGTCCAGTTAAAAAGTTCGCTCCAATAACGGAACAAGGTGTCTTCTACCTTTGTGCACTTTTACAATGTTATAATTGAGCCATAAAACGAAGTAGTGTGAATTTACCGGCACTAAAACTTAGAAGTTGGATCACTAGTGAGAGACATCATTTTACACGTTTCCCGGTCTTGAAAACAATATTACCCACCATCCCCTTTTCCTTTATTAAACAGATTGTGTACATTTTTTGATGTCTTTTGATGTTACGGTAACGTACGATAGAATAAAGCACATGAAGACACGATGTATCCTGGTAATTTATTTAATTGTACTCCGATGTGAATTCGCAACATTATTGTAAAAGTAGTTTGTTATTCGGACGATTCTACTTCCAGTATCAGATATAGGTTTTAATTAACTTATATTTTCAAGATTATACCTTTTATTACATCCTGTATAATCGTTCAAAATCTTCTCATCATCGTAATCGTAACTAAAAGGAAAGCTATCAAAATAGCGTTGAAAGATTTGCCTATCTGAATAGTCTGATGAAATCTTAGCAAGTCGCATCCAATAGTTAGTTGCGAAAACTATGTAGGAGTTCTGTGTTTTCCAGACTTGCTACTACTATCCCGAGAAACTGTACCTATCACTTCAATATTCGTCTTTGAACACAGTCCCGTCGAGATTGTTGTTTCTGACTGTCGATTTCTCATTTGACTGATGTATTTCATCTGAAGGTGCCTTTGTAAGGTTAAAAGGAATAGGGGGCGATACGCAGTAGAGCAGTCTGAAACCGCACCAGTCTGTTTCAAATAATTTCGAAGTCAATAAATTTAATGAAGGTAGCAAACTAAAAACTAAAGAAAACTTTTACGAGTATCAAGTTTGGTTAGTTTTCATTTATTCCCTAAAAATGTAATGGAGATGAAATTAATTGTAAATAATTTTGGTCAGTACTTCATAATACATACGTCACAAATCTGTTTACCACAACTTTATTTAAGAATAATAAACTATATCGTATCATAACCCCATCGACTTAATGAAAAAGAAGGTGCTCAATATAAAATCTTTCTATTTCATATTTTTTGTTCCGTTTCTAAGAAAATCATTTTTGAAAATCAAATTGATTTCGTATTATAATGTTAGTATAGTAGTCACGAAAAGAAGAAGTATGGGTAGATCAAGCTCATGGTGAGTTGTAGGGCTGGGGTTCTCAAGAGAAACTTCAGCTTTCAGTTTCGTGAAAATACACCGTTTATTTCTAATAACTTTAGCGGAGCACACCTGCACGTCATGGCAGTTGGGACGAGAGAGAGCGAGCCTCGCACCTTTCATTCAATCCTATCATTCGGTTTATTTTAACGTTTCACTATTTGAACGTTTCAACGAAATTAAAAAATAAAAGTTAAAGTTTGTTTTCTTTTACATTCCTACACCAGGTTTCGTTGGCGTGCCGAGAGCGCGGGCGGCGAGGTGTCCGGCTCTGGCGAGGGTTACCTACGCGCGGGCGGCGTGTACGTGCTATGCCTGCGCGAGCGCCTGGGCCGACTAGATGCAGCTGTCCTGCACGCGCCTAACCCACCCAACGAGCTGCAACTGTCCTGGATAGTGCCGCAGTACCTGCTCGTCTCCGTGGCGGAGATCATGTTCGCTGTGTCGGGCCTGGAGTTCTCTTTCACGCAGGTAATTTAAGCGAAGCTTCAGCTCCTGTTTTCTTGATTTTTATGGAACGCTGAGAGAGCTGGCGGCGAGGTGTCTGGCTCTAGCGAGGTTTACCGGCGCGAGCGCCTGGGCCGACTAGACGCAGCTGTCCTGCACGCGCCTAACCCACCCAACGAGCTGCAACTGTCCTGGATAGTGCCGCAGTACCTGCTCGTCTCTGTAGCGGAGATCATGTTCGCTGTGTCGGGCCTGGAGTTCTCTTTCACGCAGGTAATAATGACGTGAGATTGAAGATGTTCTTGATCAGGCATTGAACCTGTTACTAGTCAAGCATAGATTGATGGGCGCAGCTGGTGAGTTATTATCGGGCATAGGTTTGTTATAGTCACTGCTCATCGTCGGACCTCGAGTTCTTTTACACGAGATCTTTATTACATTATCTCTATTGATATTGGGAGATGTACCTACTCATGTCATCCAGGATGAACCCACAACTATCTACATTGTTGGCCACAGGAACTTTTATTTTAATCTGCCCTACCAAGCACGTAATGCACACAGATAATTTCACCGCAGCTACATAGTTGCACTTGAATCGACTGATATTATTGCGCGCGCCATAATCTATCACATGACTAGCTGCGAACACACTGCTTTGCTTGATTAGGCGCGCGTTTAAGCGCTGTCGAACGGACGGTCTTCCAGCTAAAGCGAATTATATGCAAACGGCTTAATTACCGCATTATCTTAGAATTCCTAGAGGTGGAGACATTATTCTGCCGAAATCCCACAGTTAACGTTGTTCTGTCACTATACATTAACGAAGGTAATTAAGCTGTTAACAATTGATATACCTAATACTGTTATCTTGGACTGACATTTCTAGGAATCTGATCGTAAGCGAGGCGTAATTGGATTATAGCTAAGGCACAGTAGCTACCGAGCTATTTTAATAAGGTAAGGTAGGCAATAATAATGTAGGATGTATATCTTATTGTTAGATAATGAAATGTTCTTAACCATGTTATCTTATCTAATATTCTCTTAACGTAGAATGTACTGTACCTAATCATCTATTAATTACCTGTTTAAATATTTTTAGGCGCCAAAAAGTATGAAAACCATCACCATCGCCGCGTGGTACGTGTCGGTGGCGTTTGGAAACCTCATCGTCATATTGGTGGCTCAGACCAAAATCTTTGAGTCAAGGGTGAGCAGTATACTTGTAAACTTGGTAGCTAATCATCATCATCATCTCAGCCATAGGCCTCCCCCAATGCTTTCCATGTTGCCCGGTTGGTAGAAGCCTGCGTCCTTAATGATAATATTATCTTGCTCACTGCGTCGTTCGCGTAGATTTAAACAAAAGCAGTCTATTCAAGCTATCAACCAACCATCATCCTTAAGTTTCTATAATGCCATCTTTTATTTCTTTATTATTCACACCGCTATGCTATTCATCAAAACCGTAGATGTTGAGTGTAGAAAATCGTAAATACACTCGACAGCAAATAAATCGCACCACCCGCGACGCGAACTTTAAAGATTTTCTTTTGACACAATAATGGTGCCCCAACAATATTGGTGTTATTTGAAAGCCCAATAAAAATCCTTAAAGAAAAACACATTTAATTTCTTAATAAATGATTAACATATACCATAAATGTGACTTGAAAAAAGACCTCACTTTGGGCTCACCTCTGGGATCAATTAGACCAAATTTTATGGTTATAAAACCAAATAATGATCACACGTGTCCTCTTTAACAGATGGATAGCGATTAATCCCAACTTAACAGTTTTATAGCCATAAAAGTTGGCTCAAGCGTAACTAACTATCTATTTTTTGAAGAAGTGACTCTGGATCCTTCTAAAGAAACATTTTTGGGGTAAAAACCTTTCCTATAATGAAATGAAGTTTAGAACTAGGCTTTTGAATGGTACCAATATTGGTGTGAAGTGGGGATGCATACGTTTGAAAGTGCTTGTCGCGGGTGGTGCGATTTATTTGCTGTCGAGTGTAGTTACATAAATAAAGAAACTTAAATAGAATTTTCTGTTGTGGTATCCTACCTACTTATATATTTTTTGATATTTAATGAAATCGTCGGTTTAGAGCAGCGCTCGAAAATAACAATGTAAAATGATCACATTTTCATAAAAAACACGTATCCAAGCGTGCATGGCCGCCGGCTACTATTTCCAGGGGCGCTGCAATAAACATTTTTTGCTTGTTAAAATGAATTTTTCCATGTCTTTGTTTATTTTAATTTGAATAGTACATGCGCAAAATGTAGGGTTACAATATTTTGAAATTGATATTGGAAAAATAAAGTTAAAATTTAAAAGTTGAAATAAAAAAGCTGCAAGGCGTAAAGCATTTTATGGCTGTTTGTTTTCAGGGGCTGAACTTTTTCAGATTTTAATTATAATTTATAATTACAAACATCCTTATTTTCACATTAATAATATTTAGGCTACATAATATGGATTTCTCAAACACGATTATGGCTAAAAGTCAAGTAGGTAAATGCTAGCCATTTCAAAAACCATGCCAAAAAAAAAGAAAAGAATGGCAAAATAAAGAGTATCAATTTACATAATAATTAAATATCTTTTACGCCGAATTTCGTGTCGCACAAATAAGTGTTTAATCTACATTTCGTTATTGGATACGTTTAAATTTTAATTGGCTTAATTGGATAATGTCATTGGGCAAATGGGCACCATTGCGATTGACAGAGTAACAATGGTAAACATTTATTTTCATGTTGTCGCAACACATTTCCAAAAACACACAAATTAGATGAAATAATAATACAGACGCACCTCAAGTTAACTACTGTGGTTAAGATCTTAATTCCATGTAATTTATACTTTGTTACAAAAATGTACTAACTTACTCTGAAATGTTGAACTTTTACTTGTTCATGTGTGGAAACCAGTTATGTAAACCAGGTATGTCGTGTTTTGTCGCCTGTAATAAACAGTTGAAATTGAAACCGAAATCAAGCCGTGGGTGGAAGCTGTAGGAAGGAAGGTAATACACTAAACTTCATAAACGTGTTTGACACAAACGTAACTGAGCAAGTGATCTGCAAAAGTTTGTAGCGTTTGCTCATTAGTACGACTGAATCTGATTACGCTAATGGTGACATTCTCCCCTCAAACCACCTTGTTATAGTTCAGTTTAGAATATTAATCTGTGCTAACGTTGTTGACGAGCTTAACTTGCTTGTTATACTCGTACATCACCAACTTAATAAATTGTTTTGGAGTTAAACGCTGCAATACTTCAAAGCTGTACTGCAACTTGTCTGTTACTTCCCATGATCTACCGCATGTTTAAGACAGCCACTTGCTCTCTGAAATTAATTTGTGCTTAATATGTCTGCTTCCTAAGTAAGCCTAAGTTCCTAACTAAGATTGCACAAAATCCGTGTTTTAGTGAGATTATCAGCATTCATCTTGAATAGATCTTTTAGGTGTCCTTTTATTACACAGAGTAGAAACCACTAAAGTATAATATAAATCGTACCTAGTTCCTTTATTAGATTTCCTCCATTTGAACCTCACATTTCTTTTCATCTAAACATATGTAGTATTAAAGCCTTACTGCCTAACCCATTCACGCGTCAATTCATGCCGAAATCCCAAGCTTTCTCGCTATGAATGGGCTTCCCAGCTTTACTTCTTAGTTTGAGACAAGATTAATGAGAAAAATAAATATGTTATAACATAAGTGCTCTCAATCGTTTCCTGGACCGAAACCCAAAATGTGATGAGGCGATTTTAGTGCTTTAGTGACTTACCCAAACATTTGGATACCGTCTGCTACGCCATTGGGGCGTCCATATCTTTGTTGGTAGAAGAGGCACAATGTTGTTGCATAAGCTCTTCGAAAAGAACCCGAAACAACTAAAAGATTGTATGAAATCGAACTCATTTGGAAGATGGTGAAGGAAATCGGCCCGCAATTAAGTATCTTCTTCTTATCAATTTTGCTCTTCGCTCTTCTTGTATGGCATCTACTAGTAACAAATAGCGAGCTATTTTATGCAAAAAAATATTTTTTATCCGCATTTAGAGCTTTCGTGCAATATCCTTCAAAATCCGAAACAATTTACGTCAAAATACGAAACATCGTCTGTCAGTTATTTCGTAGTAGCACATTTCGGAGGTAACGTCAAAATACGTCACGTACGGACTTCCTTTCCGATTTCGGATCCGAAACATTTCATAGGCAATTTCGGATTCGATTGTCGTTGGACGGATTTCGTTTTTCGTAGTAGGCCTGCTGATTTTTACCACAGTACCTATAAACACAGTTTATACTGTGGATTTTTACCATTTGACGTTTCAGTGTTTTATGACTATGACACTGACACAGACACATGTCACTAAGAAAAAGATTTTCGTAAAGAGGTCATCACGGATTTAAACACAATAATTACCATAAAAGAAAAAGAAGAATTGTTTTTCACAAGCGATTTTTACTTCGAATGTAGCAAACAGGATTTGACCTACATTCCCCATGCTGGCCAGACGGGACCTTCGTAAAAGCATTTCACATTACACTTATTTTTTTATTGATTTAGGCGACAGAATTCTTCGTGTACGCCGCGGTGCTGACGCTGGCGATGCTGGTGTTCCTCCGCATGGCGCAGGGCTACCAGACGCGGAGTATTGAGGGCGACGCCTCCTCCTCCGAGAGCCGGCCGCTGCTGCATCATCGCTCAAAGGTGAGTATCATCAGTCATTTGTTTAGACGACAGAGTTCTTGGTGTACGCTTCTGTGCTGACGCTGGCCGTACAAATGACGTTAATTTGTACTAACAAAAAATATTTCTTTGACCCTTTTCGAACCCAGCTCTATTTTACAAGGCTTTTTTAATTGCTCGCCCTTTAAATCCTGTCAGATGAAAATGCGTAAATCCATTAATCCCATTATAACAGGAGCTTGCTATGAAAACAAACTTTAACATAACAATCCATAAAACTGGTTATTACTGCAGCCAGGTGAATACAACTTTGCCAATTAGCTGATTGCCTGCGGCGGAACAGCACCAGTTTTCCACTTCAATGATAGAATTCCATGACAAAGGGCATGACGTATAGGCACAAAATAGGTATAGGGGAGACCGAGGTGAGTTGTAACAGAGGAGAGTTGTGATTTTGACAATTTTTGGAACTTATTAACTACTAGCGAGCTCGTAACAGTGCGCGTTCAAGTCTCGAGCTAAAAAATACGCGCTGTTGCGACGCGGGTCATGTAAACAGGTTTCCAAGAATCGACATTGTCACAACTCTCTTCTGTTACAACTTACCTCGGTCTCCCCTACATCCAGACAAAGGCTGTACGCAAATCCAGTGACGAGACATGATTAGTCAATTTATTGTTCCAGCCACAATACAACACAATTTACCTTTGATTAACATACTCGTAGCAATTTACCTCCTAATGATGTCGGTAGCTATAGCATCCGTGGCTCAGTGGTTACATGGGACTCTTAAGAGGTTTTGTGTTCGATTCCTAGAGTGTTTCAAGCAGCACAAAAATATAAAGTTCTTTTCGTGCCCCAAACTTGAGAAATAATGTGGTCGCCGTACAAACTGATGTTAGGTTTTTCACCTCATAATTCTTTTTTTCTTTCTTATTGATAGTTTAACACCTTCGCTGCCAGCCTAAAAATGGCACTATTCCGTTCGGGCCATGGGGGACAATGATGGGCGACACTTTAACTTTCCGTTCGGGCCGCGTCGGACAATGATGACCGCGAGTCAGACCTATGTTCAAACCTCTGTATTGAGCCGATGGACAGCATTTCTTCAATAATTCTCATATAAGCTGACCCGCGCGGCTCCCAAGATTAGTGTACGTCACTTGGTTCTCAAGTAAAGCTCGGACTTAGAAAAAAAAATGTGGATAACGGTAGCGCAATGAAACATGGTAATTANTTTTTAAATAAAATTTAAACCTTTTTTAATTAAATTTTTTTTTGAAAAAAAACACTTTTAGCGTTCCTTTTACGGTATCATCGATTAGTTTATTATTATTTTTAATCACTATTTAAGACTTATCCTGCTAGTTTCGTTTCTCATTTTATACCTTATAATATTCCTATTTATGCGTAATATAATATATCAAAAACCTACCAATGTACAACTCTTTATTTTTTTGGTTGTTCTCCTTTTTTTTTTGGATGCGAGCGGGGATGGTCGACAACATGACCGCGCGGCCCTACGGAACGGATTTTCGAATTTTCGCTCGCTGGGGCCATGGGGGTCAATGATGTCCGACGCTTAATAATACGATGTAGAGACTCAAAAACAACTATATGTTAATATAAGATCCTTTATTTATGTTTATAATGTAACGATTTAACAAAAAAAAACAATCGACGAAAATTGAAAAAAATTGAAATTTTTACTTGGCCTGGTAGGAAAGTGCAGTGTCGGACAACATTGACCGCGTTGGCGTTCAATGTGTTAAATCCTCCTCTCGGTCGAAAATTGGTTTAGCGGTTTTGGTAATGATGTGGAATAGACAGTAATACTTATTAGTTTTGCATCTTATTGACAGTTTAGATTTTGAATTAATTGAAAGCTTTGATGTATAGGCATTAAGTATTTCATGTTGTCGAATTTTAATGGTTAGGCGTTATTGTACTCGTAAATACGTGACGTGGGTGAGGTTCTTTAAAATGCAACGTAGTTTGCTTGGTAGTTTGTGTTGGTTTTGTGACAGAATGGCAATCGCGGATTCTCCGGAACGTGTGTTTCCTGGATTGAAACAGTTTTCTGACACCGGGAAATGGTATTCGCATTGGCACCTATTTATGCAAACAGACATTTACAATTCCCTTTAAATGCCTATGAGTTTAACGTAATAGGTTCAAAATAAATCAGCGTTTGCCTGCGGTTTCGTTTGCGTAAAATTTCGGGGAACGTGGTGTATCTGAAGATTTTTAACATGATAATATATTTATTAACACATTCAGTAGTTCTATGAAGTTTCAATCTTATCTTGATTCCATACTTTTCGACCCCGTTTCATCTCCATAGGGGGATGAATTTTAGAAAAGCCTTTCTTTGCGAATTAAAGGTTTAACCACTTTTTGCATGCCGAAATTCGTTCAGTGGATTGAAATGGGTGTTGATAGATCAGTCAGTCCGTAAAACGGTTGCATTTTATACTCGTATACAGACTACAAAATCTGAAAAGGGCGGTATTTGAGGCTCAACTCAATGGAAGAAAAATATTTTCAGCTCACTAGACGTTGCATGTGGCTGCATTTCTTAATAAAATTATTTCAGTGAAAACTCGTTATTTTCCATTTCAGATAATTTACATTCGTGTTGATTCGAGAAACAGATTCACTTCTTTTAAATATGTATGTTGTGTATTAATTTGTTTTACATCAGTCTTGTTTTCCGAATGAAAGCCAAAAGTGTTTTTATTAATGAAATTTTCACGTACAAAATATTGTTTCCGTATTACAAAAGCGTATGGTTCATTAGCACGACATTTAAACTTGTGGTTTTCGTACATTTAATAGATGTTGACACAGCGATTAATACAGTTATACAATTAATTATATGTACAGGAAAGAAACATTGGTTAAATTATAATAAGGTTGTGTCGTCAACTTTTTGGCCAAGGCCTGTTCTAGTCTGCGTAAACGTAGGTACCTGGTACCTACAATACAGTGGGCCACAGTTTCCAGCTACCCATTTCCGTTTTTTCTCTCTCTCATCAAATGGCTATTCTTTGCGATAGAACGAGACGACATGTCCGGAAATGGGTAGCTGGAAGTGTGGCCCATAGTACCTACTTTTTCTTAGCCTCACGGTATACCATCATAGGAAACCGGTCTCAAGCGGAAGCGTTTACGCAGTTTCTTATACAACAAATGGGTGTATCGTTTATGTTTTTTCCAGGTGATATCAGTCCATTCGCTGTCGACCTCTAGCACGCGCGCCTTCAGCGGCCGCAGCAGCGCGGCGTCGTGTCTCGGGCTGATGGAGCGCGCGCGACCTGCTACCTGGCCCACGCGCGCCTACGTGCACCTCGCGACACCCAGCACTAGCGAGCCTCATGTCACGACCCTCGCCAAGTAGACCGCCTGTAGTGTGCTGTTCACCGCGCTATTGAACATCACTACGACAACTGTAGCGCGGCGTCGTGTCTTGGGCTGATGGAGCGCGCGCGACCTGCCACGTGGCCCGCGCGCGCCTACGTGCAATTCGCGACACCCAGCATCAGCGAGCAACGCGTCACTACCCTGGGCAAGTAGACCGCCTAGGCGCCTGTAGTGTGCTGTTCACCGCGCTATTGAACATCAGTACGACAGCTGTAGCGCGGCGTCGTGTCTCGGGCTGATGGAGCGCGCGCGACCTGCTACTTGGCCCACGCGCGCCTACGTGCACCTCGCGACACCCAGCACCAGCGAGCCACGCGTCACGACCCTCGCCAAGTAGACCGCCTGTAGTGTGCTGGTGACCGCGCTATTGAACATCACTACGACAGCTGTAGCGCGGCGTCGTGTCTCGGGCTGATGGAGCGCGCGCGACCTACTACCTGGCCCACGCGCGCTTACGTGCACCTAGCCACGCCCAGCACCAGCGAGCCACGCGTCACGACCCTCGCCAAGTAGACCGCCTGTAGTGTGCTTCACCGCGCTATTGAACATCACTACGACAGCTGTAGCGCGGCGTCGTGTCTCGGGCTAATGGAGCGCGCGCGACCTGCTACTTGGCCCACGCGCGCCTACGTGCACCTAGCCACGCCCAGCATCAGCGAGCAACGCGTCACGACCCTGGCCAGGTAGACCGCCTGTAGCGTGCTGTTCACCGCGCTATTGAACATCACTACGACAACTGTAGCGCGGCGTGGTGTCTCGGGCTGATGGAGCGCGCGCGACCTGCCACGTAGCCCACGCGCGCCTACGTACACCTCGCGACACCCAGCCCAGTGAGCCACGCGTCACGACCCTTCCCAAGTAGACCGCCTGCTTTATACTGATCACTGCGCTATTTGAACCTCGCTACGGCTGCATATGACTGCGCTATGTGCGCCTTACCACGACACACCTAGCACCAACGAGTGACGCTGGCTAAGTAGATCGCCTATAGTGGTTGCCACCGCGCTATTTGAACCCTGCTACAATGACCTACATAGTGTTTGAACACTAGTGCGATGGAGCGCGCGCTTACCGCCACGTCACCCACGCGCGCCTACGTGCACCTCGCGACACCCAGTACCAGCGAGCCAAGGGTTACGACCTTGGTCAAGTAGATGCAGGACTTTGCCAGGAGGTGGATCCTGCATTGTATCTCGCCATGCCCAGTAATCTCGATCACAGGGTCACGGACTCATGACTCTAGCTTCTGTTAAACTGGTGACTGCGCTACGTGCACCTCGCCATGTCCAGTACCAGTGAACCGAGGGTCACGACGCTGGTCAAGTAGACCTCCTACATTGTACTGGTGACCGTGCTATTGAACCTTGCTACGGCTGCATGTGACTGCGATATGTGCACCTTGCCATGCCAGGCACCAATGAAAGATAATAGTGGTGACCACGCTATTTGTATTTAGCAATGAACGGCTTGCATAGTACTGACGAACGCCATATTTAATGCTCTTGGCTGTACAGAAAATTATTAGACCAGAGTTATTATATTTTTCATAAAAATAGGAGTCTGTGGAATGAGTCCAAATTGATATCCCAAGCTATCTTATTATTATAATTTCAGATCTTGTCTCTTACATTCTGTATTTTAGATAAGTTCGTACTTATTATGGATTATTTTAGATAAGTGGTTATTTTAATATACTAACTTACTATATCTAACACTATTATCTACCTACTTAGTTGTAATGTCTTTTCTTTAAATAAATACGTACACATTATTGATATTGCTTTTATTATTTGAAATGAATAAATAAGAAAGAATAAGAAAAGGTTTTTCCTATCACAGGTAAAATAAGTATTACCAGTTTCAATTTCAGTTGATTTAACTCCACTCAAACTGAACCTCTTTTAAACAGTGTAAGGTACAGTCAGCGTCAAATAGTTCGTATTTTAAGTGACCAAAAAGTTGACATTATTCCAAACTAGCTGACCCGGCGAACTCTGTTCCGCCTTAAAGGCAATAAATAAGCAAATCTTTCCTTATTTGCTCACCGTTTAGACCTACCCCGGACTACAACAAACATTTTATCACCAAAATCAGCTCAATCGGCCCAGCCGTTCTCGAGTTTTAATCAGACTAACGAACATCAATTCATTTTTATTTACGAGTATATTATAGAAGATTGTAATCCTTTTGTACCCTTTGCACCACCGGCCTGCACCACTGGTGGTGCAAAGGGTATCTTTAACAAAGACGTGTTGCGAAGTTTTTGGCTACTATGGGTGTCACCGCTAACTCCTCTAAGCCTAGGTGCAGACCATCGATTATTAGTCGGCCGATAGTTGGGCACGATTTTAATTTGTATGAAAATCAAATCGGTAATTATGCGCACTTCCATACATGCCCATACTGATTAACTGCCCGATTAAATTATCGGCCGACAAAAAGTTGGTGGTCTACGCCTAGGCATCACATCACATCACGAAATTATATTTTGACGCTGACTGTTCTATATTATTTTTCCATTTATAATTTTCAAATCCAATTTATAAAAAAAGCTTCACAACAATGCCTTATAAAATTACAAGCACGGAAGTTACATATCTACTAACTCCAATTTTCAATATCTAAAAAGTAATAAAAAAAGCGAACGATCGTATAAAAATATCCAGGACCGTTTTGATTTGCATAAAAATAGGTAGGCTTTTACTTGTAAACGTAGTTTTTATTTTGAACTAAGTTTGAATAACATTACAGCGAATTCGTTTGCGTTATTTTTTGAACCATGAAACATAAACAAATAGTTACAAAGTTTCAAGTTTTACGTAGGGAAGAGAGGGCAATGTACGAGTATGTTATTGTATTGTTATGTATGTATTGTTGCCTAAAAAGGCAATGTTGCTCATGGCAGCGCAATAGACCTTCTACAGCAGCATTAAGACAGAAAATTAATATACAATCTTTGATTAGGAATGTAGCGAAATCTGTGCTGCTCCAAGAATGTTGTGAAGACCATTGTATTGCCCCAATATTGTCTCAAAGCTTTCGGCCACACAATACCGCTATAGATAGCACAGGCCTATATAGTTATATAGCCGTATACAATGTCAGTGATAGTGTAGTTCGTCTGCAATGTCTTTGCGTTCGCAAGTCTTGTACCTACCTACTTACTTAATATAGGTAAAGTTAATTAAGCCTACTAGATTGCTGTGCGTAACGAAGTAACTATTCGCGCGAAGTGCCTGAAAAATGACGAAGTTCATTATAATGTGCATTTTTGGTATGTATTTTATAATTTCAGTTAGGCATAACAACTTTTTTTAAATCTAGGAATGTACTCTAGGGATAAAGTCGGGTATGTATCAATTAATAAGTTTTAATTTTAGTGATAAAATACGTGGGACCTGTAGCAGTTCCTGCAAATGACACGTGTAAAGATTGTCTAGCGAGTCTATTTGAGAAGAGATTTTTCCCAAAAAATGGTGACATACCGATGCTTAACCGAAAGGTAGGTAAAGTATTTTTCTTCTTCTACTGAATCAAACTTTGTTAGCATCATCAATATCGATATTAAGTCACCACAACAGGGAGCACTCTATTTGAATTTGAATTTATCTAATTTTCCAAAGACAAATAATAGGGGGGGGATTCGTCCTACATTCAACCCGCTGACCAGTCCCGTTAGGGAGGCCTGACGTTTCCATATTGTTTATTATTTAATTATCGGTCTGAAAAAATACCTTTTCTTTTTCTTTTAAAGTAAACGAAAAGAGCCAAACACCTTATCACAACCGAACTTTCAACAGTTATAAAAGCGCTTTAACTCTTAAAATTTTTGACACACAATCTAATTCAATCCTTCTCTCTATTCTTGAGTAGCTTAGGTGTTAAGTTTGAATATGGTAACAGAATTTACTCCACAAATAAGCTCAGTGTTAGTACGAAGTGCAAACTACACAGCTAAACACGCTGCACTTAGTGGATACAATTTAGTAATTAGCTTGAAAACTTGTAATGCACTAATTCGTAAAATGAGTTTAGTAGCTGGCAACACCTCGTTTCAGTTCGTCTCTCTAATCTTTAACTTTAAGACAAGTTAAAGATGATTTGATTATTCAAAAAATATTGCACATTTATTATGACTTTAATTGATAAATACTTACATTCATAGCAACTGAATGGTTTCTTTTGACAGTGGTCAAAATAAAATGTTACTTTCTTATGGGCATTGGTGAATCGTTTTCTCTACTTACTTAGCTTGGGTAGCATTACTTTCGATATTGAGATCCTTTGAAGAATTCGAAGCATAGTTAATAGCATACACGCGCACAGGGTCTTATCCTACAGTTGGAACGATTCAAGACTTCAAAGTAGGTACAAATAACTCTCCTATCACAGTCTGGTAACTAAACTAATAAATAAAAAAGATTTACGACTTGAAATGTGCTATCTGAATAGAAACAACACTTTAATTCCAAATAGGTATCTACCTAGTACCTACTAATTAATAGTCTACTTCAAAATCGGAAGAGAATCAGATGGATCTTATTTATATCGAAATCGGTTTGGGGACCTTCTGCCTGAGTGTCTTTTAGTTTTAGGCTGAGAACCTAAACAGTGAAGGTTAAGTTTGTCCTGGAGAAATTCATCGTTCTTTCGTTTCAGCCAAATGACGTCCACTGCTGGACAGAAAGGTTTCTTCAACGACCGTTTATGGGCGACTTGCACCAGATCGTTAGTCCACCTAGCGAAAGGCCTGCCCAGAACATTTATCGATACTCAATTAACAGTAATCGATCGATTGGTAATGTGCCCCTGTGCAGGTGTTCCGTGCCACACTGGTACCGATCGCGGAACACCCTTACGTGGTGAGCGTGCGGCGGCAGTATGCTCACTACCTCACCGGCACCGTGCTCACCAAGAACACAATACTCTCCGTCGCTCACCCGCTGTACAGGTAAAAATATAATACTTCTATAATAGCTATTATTTTTTCATCTATCACAGGTCATTATGACGCGCATGTTCCCATTTTAAAAACCGAGATAAAATTCCTAGGTCTTTAATCTATATCCTAACGGCCGCCCGCGACTTCGTACGCGTGGACCCCGTTTTACCCCCTTAGGATATAAATTTTGCAAAATCCCATCTTAGTAGGTAAGCACCTACCTTGCAAAATTTGAGACTTCTAGCACGTAGTTTCTGAGATTTCGTGATGAGTGAGTGAGTCAGTCAGTCAGTCAGTTCACTGACTTTATAGATTATTTAAAGTCGTGAAGAAGTAACAAGCATTTATCCATTCCACCCTTACAAAGACACTTAACCTAGTAGGTTCCTGAGATAGTGGAGCAAAGCGAAGGGGACATGATCAAGTAACAGAGCTGTCACAGCAAAAATGTCTGAAGCACACCTGAATGACATCACAATAACACCCTCCCTCATCGCTTCACTACAGAAATATTAGCGCTATGCCTGTAGTGTCGCATATAAATAATATTGTCCGCCGTTTGGTGTAGTGGTTCAGAACGGACTACTATGCCGAGAGATCCCGGGTTCGATTCCCGGCCGGGCAGAAATTGAAATGATGAATTTTAATTTCTGTGACGGGTCTGGGTGTTTTCTATGTATAATATGTATGTATTTACAAAAAAAAAAGTATTTAAGTATGTTTATCCCGTCGTCTAGTACCCATAGTCCCATAGTACAAGCTTTGCTTAGTTTGGGACTAGAGGCGCAGTGTAAAATGTCCAAGCATATTTATTATTATTATTAATATACGGCGAAGGCGGTTTCTGAATTGAGATTTCCAGCGTGAGCTTGCTCATCTACTCAAGGATGGTTCATTAATTAATTGATTAGAAAATTTGCAACTTCAAGCCAAAAATCGAAATTATACAAAAGACCCGGTTTAATCTTAAATTTTTGCATAGAAACAAAAGACAAAGCCTATTTGCAAGAACAAATAAAAAACCACCTCTCCTCAATTGTCAGTTACGAATTGGCATCGGCATGGCATTGGAATAAAATTTTAAAATTGCCTCTTACGAAAAAAAAAACATATGTATAGGCACCTACTCTTACTACGCCCTCACAAAAAAACTGCCCTGGTTATTTCAGTCCATGTCAATCTGATGTAATAATTGCATCATTAGTCATTCCGCATCACATGCTCATGCATCGACCAATCAAGCCCTGACTCATGCATGGGTACCTACAGGTAACCTGTGTAAAATAAGCATCAGAGTCAAAAGTCACTGGCCACGAGCGTGTTAATCAAGTTACAAACAAAAGCGTGGTGTAAACAAAATTGTATCAACAAAATGTATGTTATCGAATGAATGTAGAGCAAGAATGTAATTTCGTAGGCAACAGTTTTCGTTTGTTTGCATAAAACACAGTCTACTAATCAGGATGCAAAAAGAAAAACTTATTCATTCACCATTCAGTAGGAATCGAACGCACAAACTTCGGGTGGTGAGGGTACGGGGTGTTAATAATATTTCTACACCCCTTACGCTGGGGCAAGAAACTCTGGCCTTTATTTAGTACTGTAGCTTTTAGTTACGGCCGAATTTCATAGATGGCGTCGACAACGTTTTCCGCTGTCAATTACAAATAAAAACCAATTTTCCTTGCAATTTACTAAAAAACATTATCAATGACAATATTGTGCCATAGCGATTAATAATACGAGTGTAGTTTCAGTTACTTCATAAGGTATATTTTTTGAAATATGTGGTAAATGTGCGATAACCTGAACCGCGGTGACGAAGTTTTTCGCCCTGTAAAGTATATATACCAAAAATTTTGTAACTCCGTTGGAAGTGTGTTCTTTAGTGTGATGCCACTACTGTACCTTTGATCGTCGGCTGTAGTCGTGATCGGCGCGGGCCGTGGCATCACCGCCCATGTGCCCGCCTTGTAGCGTGCGCGGCGGCCGCTCGCCCGCGCGGCTGCGACGGCTCGCTGGCGCATTCTCCTCGAGCGGCACATACAGTTGTTGCACGCGGTTTACGCGATTAAAGTAAATCTGATAGTGTTAGCTTAAATTCGTCTTCAAGCACTTCTATGATATTACGGCGGCGAGATGTCTCTCGAATGCCAGATTTTTTGCACTTATTAAATAATTTTTTATTTATTTATTTGTATTAAAATGTTGTTTTATAAGTTAAAATCTGACAACAATAAAATTGTTTATAATAATTTACGTACTAATTATTACAATACCATGCACCCTTAATTTATTTAACCGACTTCATTTATCTCTAGAACTCTATGTTTTATCGTTATTTGTAATTATTTTAAAAACTGACAGGAATAAAATGTTTTAATTAAAATTGTTTTTGTAATATCTTGCACCCTTGCGCGATAGAGGGTAAAAATTAATTAGATAGGGCTAGTAGTGTGTTAGGGGTTGTTGGAATCCCAAAAAGAAAACACTTAAATTGGGATTTTGAAGATATTTTGTATGAGGAGGAGCGGGGTAGCCAAGAAACATCATATTTCACGAAGGCTAATAAAATGCAGTTTTAAATTAATGATTGTAATCATCACTTTCAGCTTTGTAAAATTTTTTTATTTACCTTCAATAAATCCAGAACCATAACTTTGTGAGTTTCACAGGTATGGCGCTAAAGATAAATGTGGTTGTACTTACTTGGTTACGTGATAGCAGGGTTGCCAACTCTACGTATTTTTACGTAGATCTACGTATTTTAACCCTTCCTTGCAAACCTACGAACTTTAGTCCCAGAATCTACGTATTTTCTATCAAATTTGCAAAATAGGCTGAATGGGCATCGTTTCCTTTACTTTCGCCCGTTTCATACTAACGCACACCACTCGCCTCGCCACTCAACACATCGCGCCAAACAGATGACGCATGTCACATGGGTTACTAGTCCGATCACGGTTATTTGGCATGTGGCAAAAGTCGGAACTAATGTTATTTTGACATTTCCCCATAGAAAAAATGCTGTACAGCGCCCCCTGGAAATGTCACTAAAGAGCCTTGATATGAAATTTGAAATCTGATGTGACGTGACTGTGTGTGTAAACCGTTAAACGGTCAAAGTGAATCTTCACTATAAAAACATTTCTGAAAATGATACACAATTAAAGTTTACTTTACTACTTTTAGAGTCACTCTATGTTTACGGTAATAAAAATTGTCGTTTTATTACTTTTACCTACCCCTACTCTCTTCATTTCACTCAGAAAAAAAAGTACGTAGATCTACGTATTTTCTATATGGAAATGGTACCATTTCTACGTAATTTTCTAATCTGTCCTACGACTTTTTCTAAATCCGAGTTGGCAACACTGCGTGATAGGTTTCCTGTTAAGTTTCAGCCAAACCAACGCGTGCAGATCGCGTCGGCGATGGCGATCACTGCGCGTGCATAGGCCAATGACAGGACGCGCGTCCTGTCATTTTCCTATACCGCGCAGTGATCGCCATTTCGCCATCACTGACGCGATATGCACGCGTTGGTTTGGCTGAGGCTTTATACTGCTCACGTCCGTCTATAGAACTCCGTCGTTCCTATGCGGCAGTCTTAATCACTCTATTTTAAAGGTAGACTCAAAACACGTTTCCTTACGCTCTGATTATTCGACTCTACCTTTCTTGATACGTTTTGTTTTCCCCGAACATTTCCTTTGGCTACTTGTTTTTTTACTTTTACTTGGCTACGTATTTAGTTTTATTTACTTATTTACCTTGTTGGTCTTCTGCGTTTATTTCCATAGTAAAAGTGCCTTTTAAAACGTTACTCGCAGTTTTTTTATGTGTTGAGGTTTATAACAGATACTACTTAAATATTGATTTATCGAAAGAGTTTGCTTTTGTATTTATTATTTAAGCACACGTACGGATGTTATATTTACGTAGGGTAGCTCTACATTATAATGTTTACATATTTTATGTACCTACATGATTCTAAATTCATGACACACTTTACCTAAGTAACTAGAGGTAACTTAGGTAGTTTAACATTTTTAAACCTTTAACCCTCACTTATTACTAGAGTCAAGTGGAGGATTTGGCCTAAAATAATAAATCCAATTTACATAATTAAAAAAAAAATGTTTTGGCATTACATAGGATAATTTATTACTAAATTTTTTAGACCAAGAAAGGCTGTATTTGAATCTCATTTCATGTAGCTTGTGGATACATAATATTACAGGTTACAAAATTCTTTAAATAAATTATTCTTTCATTTAGTCAAAGCTAAAAATCTAGTTACCTTTTAGGATCCCTCTGCTGGTAGCGGCTCCAAACAAATAGACCAGGGAGGTCTTCGTTGACTGGTCTTGGATAATGAAATCCGTAGATACTGCAAAAACCCTACTAGCTGTGCCTTTTTAGTGGTCTAAATAAGGAAGTAAAATATTCCAAATATCTCCATCATCCAAACCTACCCAAATTAAGCGATCTTTGTACAATGGCAAATAATAACTACTTATCAAACAAAACAAAGTTCACATGTATAAACTCACGCTGTTTGTTTCCTTAATAAAGAAAAAAAAATATTAGGAGTGGTCATACCTACCAACATCATAATATTTTATTTAAATTACGGTAGACATAGTTTTAAGCATCATGTGAAGAAAGCTGTTTTCGTTTATTCCTTTGCAAAGTGTATGAGAACATAAAAGACACATGTCATTGTTACCGTCAAAATGTCACATTAACGCTGGGTTACACCAACTTACTTTAACGGTAAGCCTAGGCGCAGACTACAGACTTTTCGACCGATAGTTGTGTCCGAGTTTAATTTGTATGAAGGATCGGCTAATACCAAAAATTGGTGTAATATTCGCACTTTCATACTACATACTTAACCATACTGATTACAGCTCCACCCAACTATCGGCCGACAAAAAGTTGTTGGTTTACTTTATAACGGGTGTCTCTTTTGTATCGAGTTTGACAGATTTTTGACGTTTGTTAATAAAATTATGATGGTGCGCAACCCTGCCGAAGTAACTACAAAAACTTTTGTAACCATTTTCATCCATCACTCTTGAAACATCGCGAACACACAAGGCAATTTAGTTCGACAGTTTAAGTAAGACTTGCCACTTTTTATTAGAGAAAAAACAGAACGTGGAACTATCTGATAGATTCACTATTTCTTCTTTTAACAATAACCTAATTCGTACCTATATCTTTACTGAATTTGTTACTAAAAGTACCTAGATACGTTTTTGTTTTAGTTTTTCTGTGGTCTCTGTCTGCTCTCTACAGATGTAGATCATGCGTAGGTACTTATTTATGTATGTAGCTATGATTTTCCAAATTTTAGGTATTGTCAACTACAAGGCCCGATATAAATAATATGTAGCCCCTGATCACTAAAAAACTTATTTTTCTTCGACCAAATTCTATCGAATTTTGTTTTTCTTTCGTGGTTATTCCACGTAGGTACGCTTGTACCTATTTCTTTCGTTATCATACCTAAAATGGATTAATGATACTGACCAAAATAAAATACTTCAAACCGCGTTACGAATAGTAGGTATCTATTACGAAAAACCACTCAATTTTTTTTTAGAAACGAATAACTGAAATGGAAAATTCGGTTGTAGAACTTATCCAAACAGGATCTATTGTTTGTGAAACCAACGTAAGCCGGTAACGATATATTCAATCATCCGAGAGTGCCTGCGATATTCGGAAAAAATGGCCGTGTCATATCGAATAGTGCAGCTCTATTCTCTATGTGAAGGATTTTTGAAACACGATTACTATTTTCAAAGAATTCCAGCAGACACGGCAGCCGCAGTTTCCGTTCTACATGTTTGTATAAAATTGAAGTACCTCTGGCGGAAAACGAGTATCTGCATTCCGGGAAAACAGTTATGTGTATTTACAAACTGTGAAAAAGATTTTCAGTGTACCGCTAGCGAGCACACCTAACGTAAACTCATGGTAAGCACACAGGAATCGAATAACCACAAAAACATCTGAATATCGGAAAACCTGGTGAAAAAGCAGACCTAATCTATCTCGAATCGTAGCCATAATGGTACTGTACTTACTGTACTGTACTTAGTACTATAGTCACTACTTTTTCATTTCTAAACATAGGCCTAACATATTTATTGTCACATATAGTATGTAAATATGTATAAGTAGGTATGTGAACAAGTTTGTGTATACCTACCTACCTAATACTTATAAGTTTACCAGTGAACATTTTATGATTACTTACACTATAAATGAAAGGTACTATATCCTGGGCACGCACATAATCAAGACCCTAGCTGTTCCTGTTGGCTGGACGTATTCAATAAGACGATGGAATGTAAATATAGATCCAATAAGTCGAGAGGCTAAGGTTCGATCAACTTTGCGCTGAAAAGCTCGCTGATTTGTGATTGCCAAGTCTATAAAACTTGCCATCTACAGTTAATACAGGCTAATCATACAATGTAGCATTTTATAGATTTTAATTCGATAAAGATTAGACTACCTAGTTAGTGAGCCAGTTTTGTATGTAATTTAGGGTACCTAACGATAAAGACTTGAGTTCTAAATTACCTAATGGTCATATTGTCAACCAACACCCTCTGATCAGGGCAGTTGTCGGTACCTACTTGAAGAATACTCTCTGTTAAATAAATGTATCAATTTCAATATTCAAAAGCATGCAAATAAAGTTGTTTAGTAAGTCGTCTTAAAAATATGTTTTCAAGACTTTGTTTTACAAGATTTTCACAATGCCCTCTATTCAAGAAACAATTTATGTTTGCAAAAGAAAATATATTAACTATTGTCTTGAAAATGTATAGTGTGGAAATACTCTACATACCGACTCGTTTTGTCCTGAAAAATGATAGAGCAATAAAAGCTCGAACCGAAGCCGGGCCTACAGTAAGAGCCAAAGCACACGATACGTTGCGGCGCTGCACCGCAAAGATTTCTCCAAATCGCACCGCTCGCGCTCGTGTGCCCGCCACAGATAATTTCTATGTAAAGGCGGCGGTTCGCACTGCGACAGAGACAAGCGACCGAGACAAGGGGCCGAGACGAGAGACCACGACCACTGCTTGTCTTTAGGCAATGTATGATAAGTGCCAGTTTGTAAGCGAGACAGAGACAAAGACAAGTCAAGACGGTCGCGGTCCCCCGTCTCGGTCTCTGTCGATGCGTTTGCGTACCTCCCCGCGCCACCTAGAAGACGCAGCGACACCGTTCTGGCGTCGCACGCATCTTGTGCTTTGACTCTTACAATGGTGTTTGATAATAGAAATGATTATGTTTTCTTTTTGCAGAGTGGGAACTTATGAGCTAGCCGTGGTGGTGGGCGAGAGCTACGCCGACCGGGGCACGTCTCTACATTCAGTGATATTAATAATTATCCACGAGGACTTCGATCGCTTCACCCTCAAGGCTGATATTGCGCTCTTGAGGTTATACGAGGAACTTAGTTACAGGTATGTATATTATTATGTATAATAATTACGCAAAATTTGTAAGCAAATCAATCTCATACCTAAAGATTTGCTTGCTGCAAACTAGACTTTCAAATAAAGTTGTTACTCGTTGCGTAACGTGACGCATCAGCACAGAGAACAATATATCGCATTAATATCGACCCAATCAGGGGCTGTTCTCTCATTTAACTTGATACCCTGCCCATCCTCAGCTTGGAGTCAGGTCTAATCAACGGAACACTAAGGGCTTTGTGCATTTCAGTCGATACCTTTTGACAGGCGCGCTGCATCCCGGATTTGTATCGAAGAAACGTCATGTTTAATTTCGCCGGTAGATCTAATCCGATCCAATGCTGGTGCTTGTCAAAGGATATTGACTGAATGAAGCTGGCATTCAGGTGGTGTAACGGTAGTTGGATCCATTGATGGGCAATGGGAATCATAATTACTGACCGCGTTTGAGCAAAGCCGAAATTAATTTGAAGATGCAAATAGGACTAATTACTACGTGAGATTAGTGTATTGGTTTATTTGGAACATACCCATATGACGAGTAATCTACGAGTAGGTATACTAAGGCTGAGTTGCACCACCAAACTTTGACCGAAACTATAACGATAACCGATGTTTTTTGTATGGAGTTAGACAGATTTTTGACGTACGTCAAAGTTAAAGTAAGATGGTGCAACCCAGCCTAAGATTATTTTGTATTTTTGTTATGTTTGTATATTAAATAGGCTCGGAAACTATTGAATCGATTTAAACAATTGTTTCACCATGATAATCCAATTATTTTTCTGCTGAACACTGCCATTTATATTTTTTTGATAATTTTTTTTATTGAAACGTTTGATAAATAAATACGTGTGAAGTTGGGGCGGGCAGCTTGGTATGTTTTAAAAATGAATTCACAACGACGTTGTAATTTAACTACTCGTTTGTATCATGTTTTGTTTTAACTGTGAAAATTCACAGGATTTTCTATTTATTTTCTTCAGGACCAATTAATTAGTTACTTGCAAGCTTGTTTCTAATTAATGATTGCTACCTCACTATGTCCAATATCAGCGTATACGTAATACAGGGTGACATTTAAATCGTTGGCATCCTTTTAAACTAAGACTCTATTCATGATACCTACATAATAGGCACATTCCCTGAATGTGAGACGAATCCAATGAACAAAAATTAAACCCTTGTACAGACGACAGCTCATCAAACTTAACACCGGTATCTTATTTCGATGTATTAGGTGTTATTAAGCAACAAAAATGTATGGTCTGACTGATGTGTTGTTAACTGTAGGTACAAACTCTTTGTTTAAAAAACTTATTTAACTGTCTCTTAATCAGGGAATGTACTATAGATGACCCACGCTGAACTGTCCCGCCAAACTCAATGACAGGGGGGCGCTACCATCGTTCAACTTTATGGTTTCCAACATGGCAAAAATCGGAACCAGCGATTCGGTATTGACGGTGGCGTCCCGCTGTCAATGTCATCGATAGGACAGTTCAGTATTTTGGAACTATATGTGTCATGAGTAGAGTCTTACTTCACAAACGATGCTTGCTTAAGTAATCGATCAAATCGAACGCACAGCGTTGAATAGAGCGAGCGATTGGTTCGTGTGTGACTCTGTGCGTCCATGCGCACTGTGCAATCTCATAGTAATGTTTGCGAATACGGGCATTAGTTTAAAAGGATGCCAATGCTTTAAATGTCACCCTGTATATGATTCGGCAAAATTCACAAGGTCTTGCTGTTAAACCTTGTTAGTGACAGAGTTTGTATCATACACTACCGTTTCTAGTATGGCTGGTCTAGGATGCCTTTCAGGTCAGGGATGTTAAACCAATGGCACGCGACATGTTTTAGGAACTACGCTGATTAAATGTGAGTTGCATGTAACGCGTCTATGTAGTTTTGAGACTATCTATCAGCCTTGAGAGGTATGAAATACTTCAGAACTACTACTACCTAAAATAGTAAGACACGGGTTTTAACGCGACGTTTATTAATGAGTTACATTATGTACCTACTCACGGTTTGACATCACGAACTATTTGACGTTGCCTGTACTTATATTTTATACTTATTAACTTCTCAATTAAAATTCCCTGTCTATGGTGTCATTAAAAATTAATCAAACGTATGAATTTAGCCATTTGATCAAAAAGGTTAGCCATCCCTGTATCAGGTGGTAGTACCAATAGCATGATAAACGAACGAAGAGATTCATACGAAGGGTTACCATCCGTCCGAATTTACTCGGACATTGGCCTTTCAATTCGGACTCAGTCTAGCTTCTAAAGTTTGGATAATAAACTAAACATCTTTAAGCTATTGATGATGTTGTTATTTTATATTGCTTTCTGTCTAAGGCATTTTTCTGTAATATTCGAGTTTATAGTGGACGCGTAACAAAAGTTGAGACGAAAACTTACAAATCAGTGAGATACGCAAGACGTCATCGCGTCACAAAGATTACAGATACGAATCTTTGCTTGTGTGATGGCTATAAACTCTCGAATACTCTCGATGCGCGACCGTAAGGATTTTTAAATATAAATGTGGCAACCCTATTACACACGAGCATTCCTTGAATCGAACACAGAGAAATGCAATCAAATTGCAATTACAAACAGCTTTGTCTATTAATTAAAAATAACTGTACACGATGTTTTCATGGAATATGTGATGACGGAAATTTCCAACAGGTAGGTATTTAGCTTCAAGCAAAATATATTATTTTATAAGTTTAAAAAATGTTTGCTTAAATGTAATTTAGACTAGACTTCGAACATTATATTGATTAGAGTTTGATAACGTTTTAGGCCACCACTACCTGGTTTTCACCAAGGCGGAGCGGAGCGTAGAAATGTTTTGAATAAACAATCAGATTTCATTATTTCCACATTATCTCCTATCCGCTCTGCTCCGACTGGACGAGAACGGGGCCTTACCAAAGATTCTGTTTAAGATTTTCAAGAACGAAAGCGAAGAAAGAGACTTAAAAATTGGGTTACGATGCCGCGATGGGTGACGAATCCTTATACGTGCCTATGTATAAAGTTAACCCTTCACAAAACGTTTGGGGTTCGGAGGATTTATCCTTGAAATTGTAGGAATATTCCCGAAGGTAAGGGGCAGGTTGGCAAACCTTAAATAGTTAAATCATAAACCTTTGGCCCGTGTGTCCAAAGTGCTACAGATGTGTATCTGATATCATCGAAAATTTCTGATTTGAAACTACTGCTTTCTAAAGGCCATTTTTTAATTTTTTATTGTCTTACATTTTTGTATCGAATGTTTTTTCGTTTTTGAGCACCAGAATCAATCATCTTCATTTCGTAATATTTTTACACCTTGTATTGGCAAAATATTTTGGAAGATATTTTTCGCTACCCCAAAAAAAAAAAAAACAAGCGTCGAATGAACAAAGTTTTGACGTCAGCTATATTTGGTAGCAGAGAACAAAACAATATCGTGAAACTCAGGTAATCGATCATGGTGCAGAATAGGGAAAATGCAAGTTTTTTTATTATTTCTCAAGTTTCAGTAGGTAGGTATTATCTGGCATTATCAAATTAATCGGTGCTTTTCTATGTCAAAAATCAGAAAAATACCTTAGGTAGAGACATTATAAATCTCGTGACGTCACTTGGCCACCTTAGAAAAAACGCAGTCTAACGTTACCCATTTGACTTCACTCTCAGCTATTTCTATACAAAGTTTAAGGGCTGGTACCTATTTGTTTTTGTTTCTGAATTCAAAACTTAACTTACAGAAATACTAAAACTTACTTTTAAAAGCGATGCACATTCCTTAATCGAAGTTAGAAGTTTAGTACAGTCAGGGTCAAATAGTTCGTGATACCCAATGTATCCAATAAGTTCGCAACACGTTTTTGTCACTACATTATTCCAGGTTGTGTTTTCAACTTTTTGGCCACTTTGAGTGTCACGAACTATTTGACACTAAGGCTGGGTTGCACCATCTTACTTTAACTTTGACAAACGTCAAAAATCTGTCAAACTTCATACAAAAAACGCCGGTTATTGTTAAAGTTACGGTCAAAGTTAGGTGGTGCAACTCAGCCTAACTGTTCTATACGGAATCTGGCGAAAAGTAGCAATCGTATAGGTAGATAGGTATATTATGAGTTGACATGTAGGATTACAAGGACTCTGGACAACACTGGAGCGGATTACGAAGGGCTTACGGTAGTCAGTTTCACACTGGTCAAAGAGTTAAGAGCAACATTAAACATTAACCGATGTTTCAAAACATTTGGTAGCGATTACGATTCGAAAAAAATCATAGTGTTAAGCAAGGACACTTTTTTTTAAATATAACATTTTCTTTAGTAAGATTTTTTGCTTGTTTAAGTAATAACAATTTTAATGAAGTAATAATAATAATCTTTTCTATTTGAGGATAAAAAGGAGGATAAAAAAGTCAAACTGGTAAGCATTTACTCCAATAGAACTGTTAACTCGAAAAGGTATACTATGCCTACGTATTTTACGAAAATACATTTTTTTTTTCATAAAATAGAGAAAAGAGGTGGGTACTGTGTATTATATTATTAATATTCTATCTCGTTTTAGGCAACTGTGTAACATTGTGTTTGAGCGCTTTCATTGTAAGATATTTCAGAATGCCAGTTTCGTGTATGCCGAGTATTTATCGCACACTGCCCACGTCGTAGCGGTCTATAATTCTACATATTCGAGGATCCGAAATAAGCGGTTTTGTACATAGAATATAATGCCTCACAGAATTCCAAATATGTAATATTTAATTAACAGATGTTGGACGAAATCCGAAAATAGGCCTTGTATTTTGTAGGGGATGAACCAAAATCGTGTCACATTTATTTTTACTTGCAGGGTCTCCATAAAACCCATATCTCTGTCTTCCTCGTTTTCTCCAAAATATGGCCGAACTGCTTTCGTCACAGGATGGGGACGATGCGACAGAATGGTACGGTACTAAACATTAAAATAAACTTATTTGTAGGTGGACCGACGATCTGGTGAAGGTCGCGGGAGGTGCCTGGATGCGGGCGGCGCAGTTGTTGCACGTTGTGGAAATCCTTTGGGGAGGCCTTAGGTTTCCTTAGGCTGGGTTGCACCATCTTATTTTAACTTTGACAAACGTCAAAAATCAGTCAAACTCCATACAAAAAGCACTGGTTATCGTTAAGGTAACCGTCAAAGTTCAAATTCATTGTACTTACTACAAAACTTTTTAATGTTAGACAAATAACACGTGTAGGTACTCGTATACCATTTCAGAAAGTACATATTTAAGTAAACAAACAAAAATAATACACAGGCATTTCAATTGTGTTGGATTGCTTAGATTAAATAACATCCTCTCTCACCCTTGCCGAGTTCATACAAGGCAATTTATGAAGTAAATAGTTCGCTGTAGTTCTAGACCTACTGAGAGACGGAGCCCGGCACTAGCTGTGGAACGGGGACTAGCTGAAGACTTCTATATGTATTACTAGACAGGCTTTAAGAAATACATAAATAAATATCCCCGCCATCTAGATGGCGGTTTGGTAGTAGTACCAAACTAAGCAAAGCTTGTACTATGGCACTATGGGTACCAGAGAACGGATATAAACATATTTTTTTTGTGAATACTTATTACATAATTTTTATAGATAGAAAACACCCAGAATACAAACAAATATGTTCATGCACACAAATGTTTGCGGGAATCGAACCCGACACTTCGGCATAGTACGAGTAGGTACCTAGTCTGTTACGAACCATAGCATCAAGCGGCCGACTTTGCTATATTACTGACGAATTCGCGGGTAAATTAGCCGGAATTTATTTAGTCAGTGAGGGAAAGGGCAGGTGTACCGCTAGGGCGAAAGTTCATTGTCATTTCAGTCATTGGATTTCCACGACTGAAGAAGTTTTACAAAGATTTTCAGATTTGCAGAATGTTGTAGTTGACAGGCCAACATTCTTAAAGTTTTTGAAGTCTGATAAACGTGTGTTAAGGTGTTTAAAATTATTGTTTTAAGTACCTATCGCACGCCTATGCTGGTGCACATTTTCCAATTTTATTCAGATTTAAATTCTTTAATTAGGTCGATGTCCTTTTCAAGACACTGAACAAGAACTGACGACCTCATAAAAGTAGCAGGAACCGCCACCAACCGTCCAGTGTGGAAATCATTGGGGGAGGCCTATGTTCAGCAATTGGACGTCTTATGACTGAAATGATGATGATGAGGATTTGCTCAAGTATAGCTTGCAATGGTTTGTCTAATATTTGCATAGAGTTCATGTTCAGTTCGTGGCTAACTTATAATTTAACTAGCTTTCCGCCCGCGGCTTCGCCCGCGTGGAATTTTGTCTGTCACAGAAAAACTTTATCGCGCGCGTCCCTGTTTCAAAAACCGGGATAAAAACTATCCTATGTTCTTTCCCGGGACTCAAACTATCTCTATGCCAAATTTCATCAAAATCGGTTGCGAGGTTTAAGCGGGAAAGCGTAACAGACAGACAGACAGACAGACAGACAGACAGACAGACAGAGTTACTTTCGCATTTATAATATTAGTTGGGATTCCCAGGGCAAGGAGCTGTGCTTGCCTCGGTCCTCTCGATTCTTCCGCTGGGAGAAGTTGGACCCCATGTTGAGGACAATCAAGTTCACCATGACACACAGCGAGCACTGCAATGAGTATACTATGGTGAGTGCCTAATTCACAGTATGTTCATAAAAATGTGAGTTTGTTTTCTGACCTTCGTGTGTACCTTATTTGACATTTTAGGCTGATTGATTACTGTAATACTGGTCCTTAGAATACAATATGGCAGTGTTATTATTAGTTATTATAGTTATAGTAAATACTTTATTCATAAAAATATACAACGTTTGTTAAACCTAACTATATGAAAATTGGATTTCTCCCTGTATTTTTTTTCAACATTTGACTTCGACAAAAACAAGACAAAACATTTTAACTAGGTAAAATAGGTTCAGTAAACGTTTGTATTTTTTTATAAATTCTTATTTAAGGGGGTTACTTTCATAACTTTGTTTTTCTTTCCATTTTTGTTTAAGAATTTAACTCGTATTTATCTAATAAACGTATCCCTACTTTTATATATTTTGAAAACAACTTTTTTCCTTCTTAGATTACTTGTAGCTCGCGTCAATTTTCGGATGCAACTTAATAGTTATTTTAAAGTTACGAGTATATGACAAAACAAAATAAATAACAAAACTTTACACACAAATCACTTTATTCGTACACTGGTTGTCCGAGTGAGGTAGTCCCAGTTTCAGCAACTCTTCAATGTCCCCTTTGAATAGGTGCAATCGCAATTTATCAATTGAGTGTCACCCGCTTGGTCGCGTAATTTTCCAGTTAGGTGCATCAAGTTTGGTTACCAAGGTTAAAGGATGGTTACCAAAATACTTTAAATGAACTTTTTTATAAAATAAAACATTTTCATTTCATTTTCATCAAGTACCCGACTATAAAAACGAAATACAGATTTCGATTCGAGCCAGCAAATCGTCAGATGAACTCGATTTTAGTTCTCGATTGAGATTAACATATTAATACGATCTCGGTGATTCTGTCATTTCCAATATTTTATTGGTCGGTGAACCGAAACGTGTAGTTACGAGTGAGTTATGAACCATAATAGGTAGGTAATATCAAAAAATATACAGAACAGTTGTAAGTTATTAGCTGTACGGATAGACAGTTGATAGAAAACTCAAATGTTATTATTGGCTTGTCGGAGTCCAATAGAAAAAAAAAACGTATTAAGGTGTGATTACTTTATGTCTCAATAATATACACTTGCATCTACAAGGTTATTTTTAGTATATACGAAACCTTAAAACTATTTGTTCAGAATCAGTAATAGAATCAATCGCAATATTGTTTATATCTTTTTTTTTTATGTAACAGGAGGCAAACGCGCAGACGGATCACCTGATGGTAAGTGATTACCGTCGCCCTTAGACAAACTTAACAAACATTGCGTTGTTAACAACGAAAGTGCCGCGCGCTGTACGATGTATAATAGGTACTCGCGTGCGGATAATGGGACAACAAAAAAAGCTTGGAACTTCGTGAGTTTTTTTTATACTGATTCTAAAGATTGAAATACGTGACACGTGTTTTGGCTTTCGTATATACAAAAAATAATGTTGTATAGGTATACCAATAATATCTGAGTTTTGTATGGGGAAAGAAAAATGTTGCTTTTACAATTTTCCACGCTATTTTTGTCTTTTTTCTCCCCTTAGAAACCTTCCACGTGCCTTAAGGAAAATACGAAAAAAATAGCCAATTAAAAATAGCTTAATACGTAAATACTTACCTAACTGTTTTCGGGTTCTGAGCTTAGCAACACATTTAGGCGATTTATTTTTATTTACATAGATTTAACATCTTAAGAGTCCATATTTTACTTGCTATGTAATAAAGATTAGATAGTTATAGCGCTTAACTCAGGTAGATCTGAAGGAGATCTGAGGGTCTAGACAAAGTGTAAATTATAATCGCAAAAAAAGCCCCTTTTTTATAATATGGAGTTTTGACGGATTCGATTTTCGATTCGATCAAAAAGTGCGTTTTGTCTAGGGGGGCTGATATTTCGCTGACATTTGATGTTACAAAAACATGTGCCGCTCCCATAGATACCTCAGACACTGACTGAGTCAAGCAACCTATATATACATACAGGACGTTTCGTTTTTGTGATATTTTAAAATTTTATGACCTAAAAATCATAAAATTAACGATAACTTCTGAACTACGAAAAATCGTAGAACATGCATGGGGGTGACCTGCCTTCAGCTTGACACATTACACGAAACACTCTGTATAGCTATCTCGATAGAGCTATCGAAAATATGAGTGATTTGGGGCCCTTCCTATCGTTATTATCTGCGTACCTACAGTCGATTTTTCAGGCAAGTTCTAATGGTGGTAATGATCTCGTTTTGCATAATACATGTAACTGAATGCACAAATTGGATGATTGATGCCGGTACGTACGCAGAGAAGCGACAACAAGATAATAGATTGCAGAGATTGAAACGACCCGCAATTGGAAATCACCCTTGCAGCGGACGTTTCCACTTATACAGGGTGGAAACGATAAGTGATCTCACTCGATAGTTTCTAAACTATTCAAGATATCGAAAACCAAACAATGGTTACTGATCATAAAAGTACTTTACGAGCTGTATCAAACGGTATCAAAATAGGTTACAGAATAACCTGGATCTATCCGAAAATTCAATGTTTTCAGCTTCCATACTAAATGTATGCCAGACATACAATTTTAAATTATGTGCATCAAGTATGTACATGAGTACAATAATCGAGATACCGATTTCGAAGCTGGAAACATTGAATTTTCAGATAGATCCAGTTTATTCTGTAACCTATTTATTATATTGATACCATTTGATAGAGCTCGTGAAGCAATTTCAGGATCAGAAACCAGTTTTACGATAAATTAATGCCGTTTGATAGAGCTCGTCAAGCACTCTCAGGATCAGTAACCAGTTTTTCGATATCTTGTATAGTTTAGAAATAATCGAGTGAGATCACTTATCATTTCCACCCTGTATTGTATCTCTTTGGATTTCACGCATCAAACATTAACAGTCCATTCCGCGAATACACAACACGTGCTATTGCGCCCTCAGCAATAATCCCATGCGTGATACTGCGCAATAGTGCAACGGGAGTAGGGTCACCACACATCAACCGTTGCGACGCGCCGTGACGAGACACGTTACGTTGCCGTCGTTGTAACGCAAAAAAGTATGTATACCTATAGCGGGGGTCGGGGTGTCTGGTGCCAGGATTCCCCCAGGATGTTTTTTTTATATGTTATATGCTACTGAAATGCACTTGCAACAGTTGCAACTGGTGCCGGTTTACTCCAATTGCAATGCGATGTTTTAGATGGGGATTTTGTGGGTGATCATTTATTAAAATCTTTCAGGCTGTTTACTATGTAGATTATGTTTGGCGTTTGGTCGTCAAGGACAGGGACCGCTTTTAAGATGATAGTTGATAGTAGTAACTCATGAGCTATGATACTAATCGCACCCCCCCCCATGTCAGGGACCAACCCCCCCTGAAAAATAACTCCAGTGCAGTAGTGCAAATCCACGTTATGCCGTCGTCGTCGTTATGAGCTGCGTTTTTACTCTTATTTTATTAATTTTATTATGTATACAGAAAACAGAACAAGTGTCTTAAAATGGGAATCATTGGTAAGAAATAGAAAAGTTATGGATACAGTACCTTCTATTCTTGCATTCTATTTTTAGATAAAAACTGTGATAACATGGCGTGTCACGTCACGATGTCGTAACGAGTTCGTGTGTGGTAGCCCTAACAGCCTCCGATGCGTTGATAGCCAGATGGTACCAATTTTCTTATTGTGCATGCGTTTGAACGTCATCCGCCGACCTAGGCTAACAAACATGGAAAATATTACTATGTAGATAAAAGATAAACAATCAATGAACTATCTTACTATTATTATAAATGCGAAAGTTTGTACGGATGGCTGGATGTTAACATGTTTGTTACTGTTTCACGCAAAAACTAAGTACTAAAAGGATTTTGATGAAACTTTACAGTGTTATTGTTTATAGCCATAGCTGGGCATTAACTCGTTAATCCGTTAATCGTTAATTAACGAAGTTAACATTTCTATTAACGGATTAACTTTTAAGTTAACTTTAAAAAATGTTAACGGACTCGTTAACTTTCGTTAAATTATCCTAAGTCCGTTAATCGTTAATCCAGTACCTACTATTTACCAAAAAGATATAGCAGGCACGCTGAAAAATGCGTTCTGATAAGTACGTTCGAGCTTCCAGAACTTCCAGAACCCAAAACAATATTTTTTGTAACCAGATCACTAACGACACTTGTTAGTATGTGTGGGACAACTCTTGCAACTGAATTTAAGACCAGTTTTCCTCAACTGAATGAGCTGAAATTTGGTATACTTATGTAAGTACGATGACAATGCAATGTTATGGTACTATTGAGCTGGTCTGATGATGGAGTCTTGAGGTGGCCATAGGAACTCCTAAATGAAACGGCGGCATCGCATCGAATTTGGGTTCGTTGGATTTGTCTTTTCGAGCACTTTAGTACTACAGTATGAAATCACTAACATGAAGTTGTGTACTAACGAATTTGTTAGTTACAAAAAAGTGGCACCAGTTAAAAGATTAAACTTTTAACTTTAATTTGATACCAAATTCATTTAAATCACACCGGTATTTAAAAAGATATCCCGGCTGATGTGAAGAAGTAAGGAAAAAGACATGTATCAACTGTTTGTACGTCGCGAGTTGCGACCTATTTACCCCCTATAAAAGCACGTGTTTTCGGATTTTTGGTTTTCGGATTTCACACATTGATACATATACATCTCCGCTTCTTTCGACACTTTACCTGGGATTCTACACCTTCAGAAGCAGCACAAATCGTTGCACTATTGCAAGAAGGGCTCAGCCAGCGGGCTGTCGCACGTCAGCTCCAAATAAGCCACTCTTGGGTTTCGAAAGTTTTAAGATGCTTTCGGGAGACTGGTGGCTTTATCCCGAGACCAAGTTCTGAACAGCGCCGGTGCACATCGCAGAGGGATGACCGTTTTTTCATGTCAAACTATGAAATCGTCAAGATCGCGTGGAAACAACTTCGTGTAAGTGATTCCATACTTTTGCTCGCGAGTGTAGATGATGTCCAGGGTCCTGATGATGGAGTCAGGAGGTGGCCATAGGAATTCCTTAACGAAACGGTGGAAACTTATCGAGTTTGGGTTTGCTGGATTTGTCTTTTCGAGCACTTTGGTGCTAAATTGTATCGTAATTGAACCAAGGCTCTGAGATTGAGATACTACTAAAAAATGTAAAATGAAATTATAATAACTTTTTTTAAAACAAGCTTTATTTCTGAAATGCAGTTGTACTAAAATGAAAAAAATAATTGTACTTAAGCAAGGTTCAAATAATTTGGAAAGCTTGTAGCGCAAACATAAAAGAGGAATAAAAACCATACGCGATACAAGCTTTCGAAATTATTTGAACCTTGCATACAATTTTTTTTTTCGTTTTATTATCATGTGTTAACGGATTAACGATTAACGTTAACTTGCGTTAAATCTTGCGAAAAGTAACGTTTTAACGTTTAACGAAGTTAATTTTTTTATTAACGGTTTAACGATTAACGAAGTTAACTATTTGCTTAACGGTGCCCAGCTATGTTTATAGCCCAGAATAACAAAATTGGCTATAATTTATGACGAACTGTGACAAACTAAATTTCATGCGGGTGAAGCCGCGGGCAAAAGATACCTAGTAGTTTATAAACGTCGTTATTTTCAGTAGGTATGTTGGAATTCAAAGAGCACGTTTTATAAGTACGTCATTAATTTTGCTTTAAGATACTTATTACTTTGATTTTTTTGTAGGTGTCACTTTATATATTTTAATAACAAACAAACTGGTGTGAGGTAGGCAGTGTCGTTTACTACACAAATTTATTTTTAGGTAAATATTTCTATACTGAAATAAGTTATTGAATATCTTAATATGGAAAGTTTATATCGGTTTTGACGATAAAATTGAGACGCAAATGGGTATCAAGTTGAACAATTTATCCATCAATATTTACAGCTCAACAATATTCATTATTGCTTGTAGCGAAAGCTTAGACCTCGCTAAGTAATATCGGAGCAATTGAACCGTGCCAATGCAAGTTCTACTGAAAGGCAATGATACTATTCTACAATGACATAATTATCTAGCGAGGTGTGATTTGCGACGGTTCAACAATTCATAGGTCGAGCGATATATTCGATGAATTTCGATGTGACTTTACCATGACATTAGTGTCCTCTGAGACCTTTTGATTCTAAACAATGTAATTGTTACCGAAATTGTGGGTTAGGTGAGGTAAATAATTTTCCTTTTACTTTACACGTGCTAAGCATTTATAGTTCACCAATAAGTAATATCAGTTTTCAAACAGCAAAGTTTTTGCAGGTTTTTGCTTATGATTAAAGATTTGATACAAGAATAGAATATAAAAGATATGATGATAGAATAGTTTGTAAAAAGTTATGAACCTATTAAACAACTTCCATAATATGAAATACTTATTTACAGTTTTTTCATGGTACGAGTTTAAGGATGCTTTAATTTCATCTTGTTACGAGAACAATAATTATAATTAATAGTGTCTAATCAAACCTAATAATAATATATTTTTACTTCGTAGCACGAACTCAAGATGGACGACAGAATGCTGTGCGCGGGTCCTGCTCGTGTGGATGAGATCCTGTGCCCCTGCATGGCGGTGCCGGGTGCTCCGCTAGTGGTGGACGCCAAGCTGGTCGGCATTCAGTCCTGGGGCTTCAGCTGCGGCTACCTCCGCGACATGCCTGTGGTCTATACGCGTCTGGAAGCTTACCACGGGTGTGTATCTCTACCTTTATGACTCTGTGACGTATTAAGGGTTTCCTCGCGGGCCCTGTCTGTTTTAATGAGATCCTGTGCCCCTGCGTGGCGGTGCCGGGTGCTCCACTGGTGGTAGCCAAGATGGACGGCATTCAGTCCTGGGGCTTCAGCTGCGGCTACCTCCGCGNGCGAATACATACCTCAAGGACTTTCTTTTTTATTTTGATACTTAAACGTTTTGAAAACTTAAAATAATTTATGAAAAATTTCAATATCGGAATACGATATTGGCTTCAGTTCCGGAATTGAAATATCGGAAAAAATGTATCCGAAATTCCGGAGTTACGAAATTCCGGAATTCCGGTATTCAAGCCCTATACACGAGTCAAGACAATTCGACAAATTATCACAGCATTAACTAAACAGAATTTTGAATCTTCATTTGAACGTTAATTTGCCATCAATTAGAAGACAAAATGTAGTATCTGTTTACTTGCATGTAGCTTTATCACTCGTCATTATCATCATTTCAGCCATAACGTCCACTGCAGAATATAGGCCTCCCCCAATGGTAGCGGCCTGCATCCAGCGTCTTCCTGCTACCTTTATGAGGTCGTCGGTCCACCTTGAGCTTTATCACTGATTATGTAGTTACTAAATGCGATTTGTAAACTTTAAAAAATCTATTGCCTCAGGTGGGAATTGAACTCTACTAATTGTCTAAGTAGAAGAAAACTTTATAAATTTTAATATAACAAAATATTGTACATACACGCAGATGTAATCATCTAAATATATGTATATAACTCAAAGGTGACTGACTGACATAGTGATCTATCAACGCACAGCCCAAACCACTGGACGGATCGGGCTGAAAGGCATGCAGGTAGATATTATTACGTAGGCATCCGCTAAGAAAGGATTTTACGAAACTCCACCCCTAAGGGGGTAAAACGGGATCCACGAGTACGAAGTTGCGGGCGGCCGCTAGTTTGTTTATAAAAACGTAAGTAAACCACAACTTGCTGCAATTACTTTATTTATACTTACTTGAAGCTTGCACGCGACCAGTTATGTATACTACCTATAAGAAATGTATGAAAAAAATGTCATTTTTTACTAGTGCACTAGTCCTTTATTATTGCAATGACTATTCTTTACAACTTAAGGTTATAGCACACTTATCAACTCAGGGATCAACACCGTATACCGTATTGCCTTTCGCCGCGAGGCGTTTACGTAACGGTGTGAGTAAGTGTGCGTTGCAGTAGTAGTACGTATGGAGTTTCATACAAAGAATACTGACCGCCTCGAGTTGATACGGTTACAAACCGCTTCCGGGTGGATAAGTGTGCTTCATCCTTTAAATTCCACTTTTCGCTCCTAGTCCTGTTACTCCTATAGCCAGGATCATTCGTCAGCTTGCAAAGGTTGAGTAGTCCTTAGAGATAGTCCTAAATGAAGCTTACAGAACCCGCAACGAAATAAATAAGAAATACCTCACTTAAACATTACATACAGAGTTAGTCCAGTCATTTCGTCCGAAAAAAAGGCAAATAAAAGAAAATGAATTTGCGCTTCTAATTTTTTAATATGTTGTAGGGGATACCTAGAAAAGCTTAACTTGAGATTGTCGACCAAGCTTTCCTAGGAGCTTTCGCCGCCATCTTGGAAAACGCTTAAAATTTGTTTTTCGGCAATAACTCGGCTATCCGATGAGATTCGAAAATTTTTGTAGGACACTTTTTGTAGCTTTCTTTGTGCTCTACAATAACGCCCGAACCATTTTTAGCGTATCATGCATCGTTATCGAGATATCGATCGATAAAGTCAAAAATTTTGGACACAATTTTTGTTTTTTTCTTTTTTTTTCTTTGGGTCTTAATAAATATGAAAAATTCCGAAATAATTAAATAATTAATTAAAAAGTAAAAAGTAAAATTTAATTACTTTTAATTACTTTTTAATTACTTTTTTTTAAGTAACGGCAAAGCATTTGTATTAGTTGGTTCTTGTTTTGATCCCTTGTGAGAAACTTCTCCTGGCTAACTTTTGGAGTAGTTGTCTCATCGAATGTGAACTCCGGCGATTGGTTTTTTCTCGAACGTCGTACTCTTTCCGAAGTTTTCGTTCCAGCGAGTGTCATATCAGTCGGATAACCGTCGAATATGATTGCAACCTTTCCTTCGAAGTTATGTTGTACGTATCTGACGTTAATTATTTAATTATTCCGAAATAATTTGTGTCCAAAATTTTTGACTTTATCGATCGATATCTCGATAACGATGCATGATACGCTAAAAATGGTTCGGGCGTTATNTTAAGGGTTTCCTCGCGGGCCCTGTCTGTTTTAATGAGATCCTGTGCCCCTACATGGCGGTGCCGGGTGCTCCACTGGTGGTAGCCAAGACGGACGGCATTCAGTCCTGGGGCTTCAGCTGCGGCTACCTCCGCGAGATGCCTGTAGTCTATACGCGCCTGGAAGCTTACCACGGGTGTGTATCTCTACCTTTATGACTCTGTGACGTATTAAGGGTTTCCTCGCGGGCCCTGTCTGGTTTAATGAGATCCTGTGCCCCTGCATGGCGGTGTCGGGTGCTCCACTGGTGGTGGACGCCAAGCTGGTCGGCATTCAGTCCTGGGGCTTCAGCTGCTGTTACATCCATGATCCTGTAGTCTATACGCACCTGAAAGCTTACCAAGGGTGTGTACCTTTTTAGCTTTATGATTCTGGGACGTATTAAGGGTTCCCTCGCGGGCCCTGTAAGGGTGGATGAGACTCTGTGCCCCTGCATGGTGGTGCCGAGAGCTCCATTGGTGGTAGATGCCAAGCTGGTCGGCATTCAGTCCTGGGGCTTCAGCAGCGGCTACCTCCATGATATGCCTGTGGTCTACACTCGACTGGAGGATTACCACGAGTGAGTGTGCCTCTGTGTGAGTGAGTGTGAGTACTTACTATTTTTTAAGAGATAGTTTATGCTGTGCTATTGTCGGGCCAGTGTTGATTCAGTCCACACGAAACGGCAAGTCTTGTAACGACCTAATCCTAAAATAAGTTAAAAAGTGTTTAGATCATTATTAATTAATTAATTCTAAACCAAACACAGCACAATTTTAATTTAATTATTTGAAAATGCTCTGATAAACTCAAGTATAAACAAAAATATCGATATCATTTAAGTATTAGGTTAAGACGTCTAGACTTTTAGATGAACTTGAAAAAAAAAAATACTTTATAAACTTTCCTTACTGCGAAAGTCATTTTACAAACAGTATAGGTACTCGTAAAATATTATATTCATTACTTTAAGTTATTTGATATGTTTTTAAATAGAAAATATAAAATCTATTAAGTATCATATTCGCATTTAATTCTTTATGAGCCTACCACCACATAATTATCGGGTTGTGTTGAGATCGAGTTCAATACTACTATTATATTAATGGAATATTTTATGTCTCTGTATTTTATTATTTACAGATGGCTCAGCCACAACATCCCACACTTGAGGAGAATACACAAAGAGAATCTAACTCAACTGTTTGATGCAACCAAAGTGAAAAGGCTGACTGATTGGCTAGTCAAAAGCAGAGTTAGGATGCCTTTATTACGGAAAATCCATAACCACGACCTTCAAATATTACCTATTGACCATCAATTGACATTGCTGAGAGGGGTAGTGTATGATATTAGAGACTTCCTCCGTAGAGGGGCTTATCACGAAGCGAAAACAGCATTGTATAATTCCATCAGGCTATCCACGGAGAAGGTGAAGGCTATGAGAGACAATACCATGATGAAGAGCAACGTGGAAGTTGTGCCGTTTTTGTCCAATTCCACTCTTGATGATATTGGATTAGTGCTCAGGAATGGGAGTTTGATAGACGAAGCTTCTGGTGAAGAATTTGACGAAGTCGAAGAAGCAAGCATAACTGCAAAGTTTTCAAGCTCGAGAAATATCAGTTTGATAGATGAAGATTCTAGTGACGAATCTGTTGAAGTGGATGGGACTGACTCTACGCCTTCCTTATCGACTATCGCCTACGATTCTGATGAGTCTGATGAAAATTAATACTTAAACTTTTGTCGAAATTATGTTAATTCTATACTAGGTACCTACTCACAACATGAACATTTTTAGCTACTTGGTATTTCCTTGTAAATGCGTTCTCGAAAGATGCCTTTAGCTAGGTTTCGTTTCCTGGCAAATTGCTTCAGAGAAGCTAGGGTGCTTAATGTAGTTCAACGAACTGAATAAAGATACCATAAAATACAATTATCTTCTTTCCTTTTGTGTAAACTAAAACCTTTTTAGTTTATATTCACACATAGTCTAGTTAAGACTTGAAAATGGAGGGTTTTCAGTCACCAACAAGGTAAGTAGCCTGTGCTACTACCATGGCGCTCGAAAAATTGTAACTTGGGGGTAAACTTCTCTCAAGGATGTCAGTCGATATCATTACTACTTCAATGGCGTTAATTGTGTCAATATTGACTGGACTTCGCAATAGTACCTAACTAGGTACATATTATGTATTTTAGAATTATCACTTCACGGGATTTATTGCAACAATATCTATTTTAACGGTAAATAAAATATTTACCCTCCCGTGAAGTGATAATTCTACAGTAAAAATGCAACATAATAGTTTAAAATATTATATTATGTATTTGGTTTAAATTATACCTACGGTAGAGGTGGGCGCCGATATAAAATTGGTCGGCGGCGGCGCGCCGACTTTTTGACCTCGGCGGCGGCGGCGTCGGCGGCGTGACCTTGTTTGACCTTTGTTCATTAGGTTTTTTTTTTTAATTCTGCTTTTTTAGTATCTGTCGTCAAGACTAATCAGGTGATTTGCAGTTAGTTGGGGTTTGAGCCACTAGAGCAGTGGTTTACCCTAGTAAATTAGCTCTCTTGATCATAGATACTTTGATATTTGGATAGCGGGTTTGGCTGAGATCAGGTTCTCGTGTATTTCCTAAAGGTGAGCGTACCAATGCAAATGTGCCTATAAAAGTACCCTTAACATGTATTTTTGAGCTCTTTGGAGGCACATAGTTAATGTTGGATTGCTGACTGTCGGTGGAATATTATATTCAGTTCTGTTTTATTTATATTTATGGTCTTTCCATGTCATCCTACGGTCCAGGATTTTAATGCAGGTTAATGGCAGCAATGTGTCGAGGTCTAGATGGCTTACATAGCCGATCTTCGGGCGCACCAGCGCCGCTAAGACAGCTAAGTCGAAGTGGTCACCATGACCGAAATCGGTCGGATGAATCATCATCATCAGTAGGAATCAAAGGCATGCATAGCTGCAAGTCTCGGATCAAGTCCAATGCTTGATCTTATTTTTTTGATTGAATTGTGGATTTTTTGGATTATCCGTGTCAATGGGTTTAAATAAACCGGCTTGTCATGTAGCAAAGGTCTGAGATTTTTCTTGTCAGTTCGCACTCATGTAGTATTACCGGACCTAATAAGCGGAGAAGATGTACTTTGTTGCCTTCCAGAGGTTGTGGTTTCCATTTGCATTCCGAGACATATTTGCCAATCTCTGTGTGAGTAATTCGCTTAAAGTATGGTCCAATAGTCTGGATTATCTGCCAGACGAAGGCGGGGATTTTTTTCTTGACAGCAAGAGGGACCGGCGCCTCTCGCGATTAATTATTTACTAGACCAAGCAGTAACTTGAATAATGTACTTGATTAACTATTAATATAGTTAGTATTAAGTTATTCAATCAATTTATTAGTATATCAACGGCATTAAGTTCGCCTTGTGTACCAATTTATATGGCATTAAAGAATAAACATTATAGTTAGTTCTTCTGTTATATGGTTTACTGATGAGTCAAAAATGGGCCCTAATGTAGGTTTTGGCGTGTATGGAGAGCAGCCGAAGCTTAGGCTATCTCAAAGCCTGGGTAAATTTGCCTCTATCTTTCAGGCAGAAGTCTACGCCATTATTGAATGTGCAGAAGCTAGCCTGCGAAAAAAATATGCCAACCACATAGGTAATTTACATTAACTCAGATAGTCAGGCCGCGCTGATGGCCTTAAACTCCAACTTAATCACCTCAAAGTTGGTAGAAAACTGCATGAGTCGACTGAATATCCTAGGAAAACGTAACAGAGTAACGCTGAGATGGGTTCCAGGTCACGCGGGAGTCGTGGACAATGAAAATGCCGACGAACTGGCCAGGGCGGGAGCGGAGGGAACACAATATGGTCCAGAACCCTTTTGTGGCATTCCCAAAATTCTCGCTAGAATGACCCTGGAGAACATCTATTTAAATAAATCCTTTACAGCATGGTCAGACACGCCAGGATTTACTCATTCCAAACTTCTAAGAAAAGCCTATGACCGAAAATGCTCTAAGCAGATCATAGGACTGAGTAGGATCAAAATGCGCATCTTAGTTCGAGCCTTCACTGGACACTGCAGCTTAAACAAGCACTTGTCCACTATGGGACTGTCCGAATCAAGAACGTGTAGGATGTGCTAAGAGGCAGATGAAACGCCACTACACATTTTTACGGACTGCGGACCTTTGATGCGCAAGCAGAGCTTACACCAGGTGTAAGCAAACACATCCTAATCCCACAAGATGTAAAACATATTATTATCGCTCCCCAAAAGATACTGCAATTCCTAATGGATGCAGGACTCGGAGGCGAACTGTAAGGAAAATAGCGGCGATCACAATAGATCGGTACCGGTCGCAGTGATACTAGGACTTTATTGAACTAGAATAGCCGCTCAACTCTATAAAAAAAATAGTTCTTCTGCGTTTGAAACACAAATTAGTACAGTATAGGAGAGGAATAAATTGCAAATAGTTGGTACAGTATCAGTATCGGCGCGCCGACAGCTGGTCGTCGGCGGCGGCGGCGTGAAAAAATTCGCGGCGGCGGCGGCGCGCCGGCGTGGCGCCCACCTCTAACCTACGGTGATAATAATATAACACGAGGGAAAGTGAGGTATTACTAAATTCGACTTAAAGACCCTTAATTTCATTGAATATAGGTATTTACTACAGTAAATTCGACGCTAATTACTCAGTAATAGTAAGAATTATCGACTTAAACTAATTTCGTGTGTAGTAGGTACACGAGTAGGGCTTGCAATATCGGATAGTTTTCAACTCCGGAACTGATTTCCGATATTGGGCACTCAACTCCGGAATTCCGGTTCTAGTTCCGGAGTTGGTTAAAAAAAGAAAGCGCTTCCCGACAAACACGTATACGTATGTGGCCTCCACTTTAGAACCTTGCCCCATCGGCCGTCTGTTCTACGTACTATGTGCCCTGCCCATTGCCACTTTAGCTTGGTAATCCGATCGCTATATGTCAGGCAACTTAAGTTCCTTTACGAATCTCCTCATTTCTGGTTCGATCTCGAAAAGAAACACCGAGCATAGCTCTCTCCATACCATGGTGTGCAACTTTGAGCTTATTATAAGGCCTTATAGTAAGAGGCCACGTTTCCGAACCGTGTGTCATCACTACTGGTAACACACACTGATTGTAGACTTTCGTCTTTAGGCACTGAAGTGTTTTGGTCGAAAATATGTGATGTAGTTTCCCGAACGCTGCCCAGCCGAGTTGAATTCGACGTATTATTACATCACCCTGCCTCACAGCTCGCTGCAGAGTAATCGCAGAGGAATNTTCATTTTCTTTTTTGAATGTACGTAATGACTGGACTAAGTGTGAAGCATATACAGGGTGGAAACGATAAGTGATCTCACTCGATTATTTCTAAACTATACAAGATATCAAAAAAACTAGTTACTGTTCCTGAAAGTGCTTCATGTGCTCTATCAAACGGTACCAATAATAGATTAAAGAATAAACTGGATCTAGCCGAAAATTCAATGTTTCCGGCTTCCATACATTACACAGGTACAGCCTCATAATATTAAAAACTACAAAAGATATCGTATAACTGGTTACTGATTCTAAAAATTCTATCCAATAGTATTAATATTAAGTTCCAGAATAAACTGGATCTATCTAAAAATCAATGTTTCCATCTTCCATACATTTAGTTATCACAGATCTTATAGCAAATAAAGCCTAAAACTAATGTTTTCCATAAATAATTTTAATTAAGAATGCAATTTACGAGTTTATTTTAAGTTTAAAAAAATGCACTTCTAATATTGAGTGGTTGGCCTTGGCATACATTTAGTATGGAAGCTGGAAACATTGAATTTTCGGATAGATCCCGTTTATTCTGTAACCTGTTATTGGTACCATTTGAAAGAGCTCGTGAAGCACTTTCAGGATCAGTAACCAATTTTTCGATATCTGGTATAGTTTAGAAACAATCGAGTGAGATCACTTATTGTTACCACCCTGTATAGTCAACAGCAAAAGTCGATGGTCAAAATCAGAAATTAAATACTACGACGTTCACGTTAGAGTTCTGTAGCATTGAAGTGATTTTAAAGTAGATTATAAATATACCTAAGAATAGCAATTTATTGACATCACATAGTGCGGACACGGATTGTGATCATCAACTTTGGTTGTTGTCTGTACCTACCCAGTGTGGTAACATGGTTGATCATAGCAGTTTCAAGTTAAAGTTACGTTCTGACTTTTGATGTTTGTTGACTTGTACCTCTACTTACCTATCATGGTAGAGAAGATTGTCGTGTGTTCTTAGGCTGAGTTGCACCACCTAACTTTGACCGTGACTATAACGATAACCGGTGCTTTTGTATGGAGTTTGAAAGATTTTTGACTTTTGTCAAAGTAAAAGTAAGATGGTGCAACCCAGCCTTACTGTCCTTAGCGCTCTGTCAACGCCAGATGACGGGATCCATACAATCGTAAATATCTAGATTTATTGATATTTTCATTGATTTGATTGAAAGAAGATTTGTGGGTTTTCCTCGTTCCAGTCTGTGACATATCCGAGCCTATGGATGCTTTCTTTGTAAGAATTTGAAAGATGTAATTTACTATTTGATTTCTATAACAGCTTTACGATAAAGTTACTCACTATATTAAGCCTTAATTCGGCCATTTGGTGTAGTGGTTCGTAGAAGGACTCCTATGCTGGAGGTCGCGGGTTATTCCACACAGTACAAACATTTATGTGCATGAACATTAATTTATTTGTTTGTATTGGTCTGGGTGTTTTCCATCTATATAACAATGTATGTATTTACAAAAAAAGTGCATATTTAAGTATTTTTATTTCCGTTTTCTAGTACCCATAGCACAAGCTTGTTCAGTATGGCGTAGTGTAAAAATGTTCAAGGATATTCTTTCTTTCTTATTTATTTAATTACCTAATTAATTAAATGTCTTCAGTAAAGTATGGAGCGTTGTATGTAGCAGTATTTTTGTTTGTTGTCTTTTGTAAATAATTTTTGGTTTGATGTCAAATACATGCTGATATTTTAGAGCGAATGATGATATAACAAAAAATAATTTGCAAAATTCTCTCTATGTTTAAAAACCTACCTATTTAATAGGTACTCGTAAGTACTACGTACTAGTATTGGGGAAAGGTACAGCTACAATAAAACAATAATATTTTTTTTGTGGATTTATTTGGCTTTCCATTGGTACAGTGTTGTGCGGCGGACCTAGTGCCGGCCTTTAAGGCAGTAGATAAGTAGGTAGGTAACTAAATTTTAACTTGATTTTTCTGTCAAGTTGGTGGGCGGGGCTTGTCACTTGACACGTTTTGACAAGCAGTTTCATAGTAAACAAGAGCTTGACGTTTGTAATTAAGTTAAAATGTAGTTACGATGCAATTTGATCACTTAAAATGAAGTTAAAATTTAGTCAAGTACTTAACTACTTTACGTGTAAATCTGCCTTTTGGCCTAGGATGCGCGTCACGATAAGTTCGCTGATAAGAGAAGATAAGATTTTACGCGATAAGGGACCATTCATTTGTTACGTTAGACGATTTAGGGGGGGAGGGGCTCGACCATGTCTTATTTTTTCTTACAAGGGGGTGGGAGGGAGTCTCGATAGTTTTTACGTAAGATCACAAAAATGTGTGAGTTACACTTATATTTTGAAAAAGCGCGGCTACCCGCACTGCGCCTGCCGGGAATTCCCCGCTTGTGTACTAGTCGTCAAACGTGTACCTATATTTTTTGTCCTTTAGATTCTTACGTAATAAATAATAAACAGGGGGTGGGGGAGGGGGTCGGCCTATTCTTATTTTTTCTTATAATGGGAGGGGGTCAAAAGCTAGCGAAAATAGTCTTACGTAATAAATGAAAGGCGCCTAAGCCACATTTTGACGTGTGAAATCATCGTAAGGATTTTATCACGGCACGCATCCTACCTAGCCCGGTTAATCGGAATCCGGGTGACATGGTAATGGTCTTTAAATCTCATCTTTTAATCTATTACTAATGCAGTCTACACACCAAACCCACCGACAGGAGCCGTCAACTTTTTTGTCAGCGGGTTAGTCGGCGTATTCACATCTCATTCAAATTAGAAAACTTGCTGAGTTGCTCCAACTATTTTAACCGTGACTATAACCATAGCTGGTGTTTTAGTATGGAGTTTGATATGACGTTTGATCTAGTTAAAGTAAGATGGTGCAGCCCAGCCAGAGGCCCGCGCCCATTTCTACCAAGGCGGAGCGGAGCGGAGATGTGTTTCCTTTCATAGACAGCATAGACTGATAGCTGACAGCTACGCATAGCTCACACGATTGCTCCTGGCAAGCTGGCAGGTTATTTCCTCCACCGCATATCTCCTGATCTCCTCTTCTCTCCGCTCCGCTCCGCCTTAATGTAAACCGGGCGTCAGTGGCGCGACGTCGGTGGGTTTGGTATGTACAGTCCTTAAGCTTTATATAGCAGCTTATAAATGCGATTAATATGTGTTACTTTAACGATTACATTGGATGAGAAGTAAAAGATTAAAGATTAACAAAAAAGGTCACAGGTGTCACATAATCCAGCCATTTGCAACAAAGTACAGTTTACAATAACAAACGTAACATCTTATTGGCAGTAAACAAACTTTAATGGATCCCAAGCAACTAAAAAGTTATTTTTCCAGAACTTTAAACAATCTGATGTGCCAGATTTACATTTTAAAATGTCTTTTGACTTGAATTAAAGGACATGGGGATATCCTAGCACTCAATGTCTCGTGTATGTACTAACAATGCGATGGGCATCGCTTCAACATTCCAATTCTCTTCTTTGTATAATCTCTAAATCTATTATTTACAAATAAACAAAACGCTTCACTAACTAGGAGACTGAATTATTTAGGGGAGACCGAAATGAGTTGTAACAAAAGAGAGTTGTGACATTGACGATTTTTTGGAACATATTAACTACTAGCGAGCTCGTAACAGTGCGGGTTTTTAGTTCAATTCTCGAGCTAACAAATACGCGCTGTTGCGAGCTCGCTGATAATGTATATCTATATATATAATAATAGATGATGAAAGTCTACAATGTCACAACTCTCCTCGGTCTCCCCTACTTGACCAGAACCAAACTGCAGGAGCTGGTTGAGGCCTGTTGAACGCTCAAGACGGCCTAATCGTTAACCAAATGACATAAATTTTATTTTTCCTAATTTTACCTTATTTATTTTTAGATTGGCTTCAACAGTCTTATATATTTTTGGTCACTACTACTTAAATTAAATTCAACTTAATATAAAATCTTTCAAGGCTTCTAATTCATAGGATGGCATCCGAACTACTAATATCATAGATTACATCTTTCAACACCAGACAATGAGTGTGTACTCACTAATGAGTCTTAAGTGCAATTAATTGAAATTATTACTGCTGGGCTTAACAAAATGTAGGAATGTTGAGTATATTTTTATACTAGAGTTATTTATTACATATTATGACTTTGAAAAGGGTCCGATTCCACTAAAACTTGTTAAATAAATGATGATGTTTAAGCTGGTTGCAGGCTGAAAACTTAGTTACGAGTATGTTACAGCTAAATTGTGAGGTAAACCGAACAAGAAATAAATTTCTTGAACTTACACCAAAAACTAAGCTATAGATCAGTCAGTGCAAACGGGACGAGGGGTAGGCAAGAGGGGGTAGGCATAGCTTAACTCGTAGCTATACAGAACTTAGCTTCGTGTATTTACTTAAATCACTTATAAGTTTGCATAGTTTGTATGCACACAACTATTCTACGTCACGAAGTCCAATTAGCTTAGCTCTCGGTCTGCAACCAGCAATTAAGGTGGACTTTCAAGAGTTGCGACCAATCGCAGTTGCGCGCGATCTTTCTCAAGCGTCTCTATCAGCGTCAAATAATGCGTATTTCGTATCACCCAAAGTGGCCAAAAAGTTGACGACACTATCTTCTTCCATTGTATCAAAGATGTGTGATTGCGAACTTTTTGACAATTTTGGGTGTCACGAACTATTTGGCCTAGCAGTATAGCATAGTAGAATCAAACAATGGTATAGACGAGTACCTATGATCGTGTAAGCGACACTTCAGTAGTCAGTAATTGTCACTGCGACTGTAGCACGCAACTCTACCTTTAAGGTCAGGCGCTAGGTCTGGCTGGAGACACGACTTTGGATCAAATTTTATTGGCCAACAACTTTTTTATGTGTGATATTTAACAAATTTTCGTGGATTCGGACCTTTTAGAAGACTTACACCTAATTACTATTTCTTCGTGCGCATTATATGCATCAAAATTTAATATTACTATTTTAAACTTTATTATAACTATTTAGTGTGAAATAGTACAGTAAGAGTATTAATAACACAAATAATTAATTGGTTAAAGATAGAACTAAGAGCTAGACAAGAAATAAATAAATATAACCTAAGTCAATATTCACAAAAGAAAAAATAATATACAGTCACCCTGTGAGATGGGAATGAGAAAATATTTCAAATCATAATCATTTTGTTTACAAAATATCATAAGAAAGTTATAAAACTGTTGAAAAAGAGGTTTCAATTCATGAAATTAAACGTAGGTAATGAAAGAGGATAGGATAGACGGCACTGAAGTTATATGTCAGCCGTGATATTGAATAAACATTGATTATACGAACTACTACAACATTCAGATTCTTAAATATCCTGTAAATATACGATAAAACACAAACCCTTTATCCATAAAAACTTAAAAACTGCTTTACCTTCGGCGGCAATAGAATCTGGCAATTTTGTAAATAAAGCATCAGCGAACATTCGGCAAACAAAGACTGAACTGTCCCGGTACTCTCTACATTACTTTACTTTTCAGTCAAAGATACGCTCACGCAAATAGCCGGAGTAGGTAGTTTGGTATAATGTGATTCGGCTTTATTTGTTAGCAAGATTGCCGGCTTCTACTGGCGCGGACTGTAAAACACTGCATTCTCGCTTTTCCTCATCCACGAAATCTTCATTTAGCAGACAGTGGCCGAGCATTTCGAGTGCATCACCGAGTGTGGTAAACTAGAGAGGATCGACCTCTTGCACTGCAGATCGAATACTTAAGTAGATATTTACTTATTCGCATGATGATGATAATACCCGAGCTGTTATTAGCTGAAATGCTGTTTTAAATTTTCATGAATAACGGGGCACATTGATTAAATGTAATATCCATTAAACATCAAATTGAAACTACTGTTACTTACTGCTATAATAATAACCGTCTATCCGCAAATGAACAAAATTACTAGTTATCTTTGGTATAATTCAGAAATAAAATCTAATATCTTCAATAATAAGCGCTACAGTTTAAATATTTTAAAATTTGTCAGCGCACAACATACAAGACGCACGGCAAAACTCGCAAAACTGAATCGTTGAGTCATTCAATTTAAAAGAACTTCGACTGAAATCGTGAGATCAAAAATGTGAGTGAGCAAATCTAAAATATACCTACTAACGTATAATAATTATGAGTAAGTAATAGTACGAAACTGAAAAAGGAAATCGGATAGTTCCATGCGACTTCTATGTCGTGCGTAACGCGGTCTCCCCCGTCATGACAAACGCGACGTCACGGTATGGCATATGCGCCAGGAGCGGGGAATGTTATTGGTTTCATTACGCTAGTCAGTTGGTCATATCGCGTTGTGTCGCGTCCTGTAGCGTTTGTCACTGACGCTGGTAGGACACCGCGTTAGCGCGCGAGGCGCTTAGGCGCAGCCACGCCGGCGAGACAAGCGCATCTCGCTGGTGGCCACGGCGATCCATTCGTTGCGAGCCGAGTCGAACCAAGTCAGGCCGAGCGTGTACTTGCCGTTGATGTTCACGTGCTGGCAGTGGGAGAACCACCATCCGCCCTCGTAGTTGCTGGCGCAGTGCGTGTTCGAGATGTCACGGTCGCGGTCGATGGCAGAGAATTCCATGTGGTTCTGGTACTCAAAAGCGTCGCTGGCATTCCCCTTGAAGCCACTCACGTTCAAAACATAGCCAGAGTCAGCGCTGCCGACGGAGAATTGGTCGTACTCGGCATACCACACGCCTCCGTAGATGTCGGTCATGTCAATCCTCATCGAAGTGCAGTTGTCGGCGGTCAGCAGATGCATGGTTTCCAGACCGAGCCAGTATTCCGAAGCGGGGTTTCCAAATCCGTGGACGTACTCGGCGAACTTCCTGTTGAACTCGATGGAGCCGTTGTAACGGCGCTGGAGGAGGGTGGAGCCGTCGGCGCACCAGGTGTCGAGGGGCTTGTTGCCGGGGTGGATCAGGTAGGTGCCGGGGGGGCCGGACACGCTGGAGCAGTCGCGGGGCAGCTGGTTCACAAGGTCTTCATACTCACGTTCCACAGGTTGCAGTTCCTTCACCTCACCCATTAACTCCGGAAGAGAGATCGTTTCGGTCCCATTGATCTCGTTGTTAGCCTCGCTCTGTAACAAAAGAAAAAATAATTTATCATTTAAATCCAAAGCATATCATAATTCTAATATTTACGCGCTCATTAAAAAGTAAATCAGCCTCGTTGCGACGAAATATCTCTATTTCCCGTACGGATTTCGATTACATTTTGATTGTGGACAAAGCTGTTTCAATTTCCATTTGCCAACTCCTAACATTGAAGTTGCGCGTGTATGTTAACAAGGGTTCATAAAATGCAAATAGGCAAGTTCGTTCCGTTGGCATTAACTAATACGTGACTGGAAAACGTAAATACCCACTTTTACCTTTTTACTCGTTAGCGATAAACATGGTTTTCGGTGCTTTTGTAGTCAAAGCTTACATTGCACTCTAGTTCACTGACTTGTGTACATAACTACCTACGTAACAAAATTAAATTACACGAGAATCAAATTGCCTTAGGAAACTAATCTAGCGGGAATGTGCCTCACTTTTGTTTTCATTTCATATTTATTACTACTGAAAGTTACCTTCAAAATGTGATCGTTCAGGCGATAGAAATGTTGCTTGGAGCTGGTCTCGAGCTTGCAGATAGTATCATTCATGGTCTTGATCAGGACGCGGTCAGTCTCGGCGCGGTCGATGGCGTTGCTCACGCTCACAGCGATCGCCTTCACCGATTGGCGCAGGTTCTCCTGGTCCTCCCTCAGGTAGGAAGACGCGGCATTCAGCTAGGAATAAAAAGACATGTTAGTTTTTAAAGTAACAAAACCAATCAACGAGTAGCAATAGGCATTACTGGTTTGCTTAACCAGCTAATCGATTCAAAAACTTACTTGAGCGAAGTTCACGTCAAGCTTGGAGATCTCTTTGCGGAATTCTGGGATGGTCTTGTCGGCCTTGTTCTCAATGCTCTCAACGTCTTCACGCAGCTCCAGCATTGAGGCGTGAATCTTGTCGAAGTCGGATACCTTCTCCGTGTTCTTGCTCACGTCGGTGCGGATGTTCTTGGTCTCCACTTCAAGGTAATCCACTTTGGCGGTTATGAGGTTCCAGTTGGGCTCTTCGAAACGGTCCATGCGACGTTCCACGTCCAGGATCTGGGTCTGGAGATTCTGTTGTAACACCTCCATCTGGTTCTGAGCGCGAGCCAGGCGAGATATTTGGGAATGTACCATTTTGTTGTGGCGCAGCTTGTGCACGCAGTCGGACCTCATGGGGCCATGTTGGCCCGCGAGCACATCGTTGTAACTTTCGTTGCTGTACTCTTCCATTCGGTTCAGTTTTGTCTGTAACAATAACACAGGTTGATTATGTTATCTCTAATTAATTATCCTTATGTTTATTACTACTATTGCGTTACAAACGAGATAATTGCTGTCCTCTTACTAGACGATAGAGTCAAGTTTCTCAAACCTAATTAATTAACAGAGGTTTGTAATGAACGTTTTCGTCATATGATTTCCAATGTACTAAGATGTGCTTATATTATAAGGACAAACGCGCGCGTCTTAAAACAAAATGTGGTAGGTAGGTATTGCATATTTAATCATCGCATTCAAAATTATTTTAAGAGGCTTCTCTAGCATTGAGCATTTCTACAACCTACACATAATTTTATTTTTGTACCATTCACTCTAATACTCTTTAATAGGCCTTTAATTTATTTATTACTTTTCTATTTCAGGCTATTGATGACGGCAATCGTAACCTTTTTTTGTAGTTTGAAATAGGGTAAATGTATAGGGTGCTAGAGTCGCTTATGTCGCTAATCGCGCAGCGGAGCGGGAAAGGTACAAAGGGACCGCGGAAGACACCGCCGGCTGCAGTGTGTGTGGTTGAATAATTCAAGTTCAGCCGAGCTCAAGCGCATTGGCGAGCGACAACCTACGGACATAAACGGCTATTGAGGCTTACTGTTTGCTCTCGTGTCTCTATCAACTACACTGCAAACACAAAGGGAATCAAAAAGATTAAAAGAGACTGATAAACTATTCATTTCTGATGAAAACTGTTTAGAGAAACTCTAAGAAACATTTTTAAATCTATTATAAACTTTAAAAGAAATCGTTAAGACCAAAGTAGCCCGGCGTCCTACAAAATCAATTTCAATCATCAACTTTGTACAATTATAGCATTAAACTTGATAATTTATGCAAAATGTATCCTCTGTCTGAAGACGAATTATCAAAATTGGACAATAGGGTATAACAGACCCCGCGGCTGAAAGGGCGAGTTAATAAAATAATAAATATAGCTCCAGATCGGCAGCCGCCTGTAAGTGTACCGAATGAATGTTGAATGAAGCGGGAATAGACCTTCGCAAACATTATTCGTTCTTGATCCTACACCGTAAGTAGGTACTTAGTCTGTGGATCGCCAACTTAAACATTTGGCCAAATCAAAGATTGATGGATATATCTAAATAATTTTCCAATCTTAATTTTTAATTGTTACTGTTGATGCAAGCGATCCGGATAATCTATTAATGTTAAAAATATGTTTGTGGTAAAATATTTCCGTCTTAATTTCCTACGAATTTGTCACATTAATCTCGATAATTTAATAGGGGCGCTAATTGGAGGTTAATTAATATCTACGTATATCCTCTGATTAAAATTATTTCCTGCTCATCCGCTATTATGCGTAAACTGTGGCGAAAGCTCGCGTTCTTTGCAAAGTTGAGTCTAACTTTTGCTAACTTGCATCCTATTTTAATCTTCTACGCCGTCGGTTACTTTGAAGACTACATTACTGCAATTCCAAGTCGTTCTAAATAGTAAATAGGTACGAGTATTCGCAGTTGCAAAATAAGGTGTACATTGTACAACATTTTTTTGGGCTTCCCATTTTTCCAACTTTTCGTTTAGTGTGCTTCCACCGACGGGCTCTATTCAGCGTCATTGAATCAGAATAACAAAACAAAGAACAAGCGAAACTTTTATTTGCGAAATCGTGTTGTTTTGAAATAAGCACGAGCATTTGTTACAAGCATTGTTAAAGATGTTTCTCCCAAGTCCCAATCTAATTTTGCAGCCCACGAAAAATGTGCGATGAAAAATTCAGGAAGGACAGGAGTGCTCAGGTGCTTCGCGTAAGGGATTGTAAGGGGCGCTTACAAAGGTGAAGGCAGCATGCTAATGTTGATTTAGCTGGAGAATATTCATACTCGCTATAACATGGCTTGGGAGCAAATCTGTGGGACACACTGCCGAGATATGTCACACTGAATACCGTCAGTCTGTGGACTGGAAATTCGTTTCTGCTCCGTTTGGCGCGAACTTATTTACGTTGGAATTAGACACAAACCTCACTATCCTATTCAAATAATGTTCAGAACGACGTACCTACGTGTGTTCTGATTTGAGACATTTGGCTGTCTAGCAATTCTAGTCCGATGCTCCGTTTACGTGAGATTGCAATTCGTAATGCATAGTCTAGAACATACGTAATAAATTATGTATTCATTTAGAACTTGTAAACTAATGTAATAATAACATTGATTCAGAGCTAAGAAGTATTATATATGGAATAGGAACATGTTAATTATGTAATATACACAAATTAGGTACCTACAAAATAATGAGCTAATGAAACTCAACAGGTTGTATTCTAAGAATTTTCTACTAATTAAAATTAATCTGCCCTACTCTAAACCGTATTTAGTTCGAGTTAGTAATTAACGTTTACATTTTGCTACAACTAAATTCATTGTCATTTTGTCAAGCAAATAGTGGCTGTTCAAATATTAAAGTCCCGAGTGACCTTTCATGAGTCGCCCCTGAATCTGTATGACAAGGATTTTCAAACTTTTGACTGCACGAACCCCTGTTAAGGTTTTCAGGTGACAGTGAACCCTTTAACTAACTGATTAAAACCTCCCAAAAATATTGACTATTGAAGATAATAAGGTTTTAATTTCAATAAAAGGTACTAATATGGTACTAATTGATGCTATTGCTGATGGTGTGGTAGTTTCTTGTCGAAAATAAAGTCAATTTTAGGAGTAATTTTGGACAATTTTAATTGTGTCACCTAAACAAGATTTACCTAAATGTATTTTTTTTATCCACAACGAGGAAGCTTTTGGCCTGTATCTCACCTGATAGTAAGTGATGATCAGGCCGAAGGTGGAAGCGAGTTTCACCCGGAATCCTCAATCACGGAGGAACTGGCTATCTTACCTCTTACTGCCGGAACACAACAATACTGTTAACATTGTTGCTATGGCGACAGACTTAGGTAAGATGGTGGTAGCTAGCCAGGCGTACTTAGAACTAGCCCTACCACCAAAAATCTTGTCGCGAGCCCTTAGGGGTTCGCGTACCCCACTTTGAGAACCCTGCTGTATGACATTGTGCGGCTTGCTGCGGGTGAGAAGCAATTTATGAAGCTTCACCACAACAATGTGGAGACAGATGACACGTCGGAGTAGTTTGTTCACGCCAGACATGCTGTGGGATGGCCATCTGCGCGTCTATTTATTTTAATTTAGTCGAATAACTCGAAATCGATTCTGATTACCTAGAATCGACTCAAAATCATTTGTGAAGTATCATATCTTTTAAAGATATTGTTAATGTAGGTAAGTATTCAATATCCATGAAAAATTAAAGTTGTGAAGAATGTTTTTTAATGAGGTAGGTACTAAGACTGATAACTTTTCCGATAGAACTGAGACTGTTTACAAATTGTTTCAAGTTTTAGAATCACAAGAAGATTTTAAAATTAATGTTCGTGATTTAATAATTTACATAGGTAATTTGTTTTTTTTTTTATTACGTATTTTAAAATACTTTTGAAAGAAGGATTTGTAAATTAATTCCATCGATAATCACAAAATTGTTCAAAAGTAACAATAAAGAAAGATGAAGTATCTACTACCTGAATTCCTGAGACTCAATTTTCCTCAAAAATCTTTCAGTGTTATTTTTTGACAAAGTTTCAATAAACTCCGTTTGTTATCATAAAATGGTTTGATCGTTTACAGTTTGTTTGGAACAGTTGCTGTATCCGTCAGTCAGTAAGATACATATAATTGACACAAACAAAAGAAACTAGTATGCAGAAGGCAAAGTACTTAATGCTCGCGTTGTCCATTAGTGTCGACACGGGACTACAGCATTTATGTCCTATAAGTGCTTTATTTTCTTACACTTAAAGGAAACCGCGGAGATAATTTCCCTTGAGGCTAGCGGTGTCCAAGTTTTAGAGGGAACTAGCGGAAAACACTTTTATAAAAGTGAGTTGGCTTCGCCTTAGAGGAGAATTGTGTACTTACGAGAAAGTATACCACTCCCCTGATTTGATCTAGCTACTTCGCAACTAGTGAAAGTTTAATAATAGCAATTTACTTCGTTCTAGTTACGTTGTTTGAAAAATATCCTTTTACCTATACTAATATGGTTTCAAATATTTTAAAATTGGATTTATACCATGGATTATTATATTTTTTTATGAGATACAACAAGATTTTAATAACATATCCATGATTACGAACATGTACACATTTTCTTTGGATTTTATAACACACACTTTTGTAATAAATATGTATGGTTTATTGTTAAGTGAGAGTGTTTCCTTTTAAATACACAGACGTATATTATTATGCGTTTCAATTACACTGTATCAATATTGTTTGTTTTTTGCAATTTGATCATTAATCGACATCATAATTTTAGCCATAGGACGTCCACTGCTGAACATAAAGGTCTTACCCAATGATTTCAATGTTGATCGATTGGTATTTTGGATCATTATTATCGTTTAAATTAAGCATTTATCTAAAAGCTTGCACGTGTCGTACGCAGTGGAAGAAGCGGTTTGTAACAGACCAGGTGTGTCGGCGGCCATATGCAACTCGATGGACAACAGGACGTAATATTTTGCACATTATTCAGCACACATGGGACTGAGCAGGTGGCCAGTTACATCGTTAGCTCAGAATACATTAACTAATAATATTATCTTGTTTTAATTCTCTATAGTAAGAGGATAAACAACGACAGTGTTACATTTTTTCTATAATTGGCGACAAAAATATTGAACTGCTTACTTGTTATTAGTGTGTAAGATAATATTTACCATTAATTGTCCCTTAGCCAATTACAGACAGTAACGCGATCTCCAGTAATAACATTCGCAGGGGTTAGTTATACTTGCTGGGCTCAGTATTAGAGAATACGCCTGCAGGGGAGGCTTTGATGTCTAGTTTTTTTTAATTAGAAGCGCTAGGCAGACGGCTGCGCTTCAGAGCCTACGGCTGTCTGTTATATCGCCAACGGCACTA